TCATTGCTGATTCTACAAGAAATTTAGAGAAGACCTAACACCACTACTTCTCAAACTCTTTAATGAAATTGAATAGGAAGCAATATCTCCAAATTCATTCCTGGAAGCAAGAATTACCCTGGTACCAAAACTAGTGAAGTACCCAAACCAAGAAAGAGAATTATAGGCCAATCACCCTAATGAACACTGATGCAAAAATCCTCAATAAGATACTGGCAAACAGATTGCAGCAAATCAAGAAGATTGTACACCATAATCAGGTGGGATTCATCCTAGGTATGCAAGGATGTTCAACATACATAAATCCATAAATGTATTTAATACATTTGACAAAAGTCATATGTTCACCTCAATAGATGCAGAAAAAGCTTTTGATCAAGTCCAGTAACCATTCATGATTGTCTTGGTTACTTTTCTCTCATTGCTGGGACAAGAAGGAAAGGTTTATTTAGCTTACAGTTTTTGGAGGTTTCAGTCCATAATCAGCAGGCTGCAAGGCAGGGTGACATGGCACTAGGGCACCACTTCAAGGCGGCAGCCAGAGCAAAGCGGGGAGAGAAAGCCTCTTTTCCTCCCTTATATTGTACACAGGCCACCTCCACATGCAGGGCAGATGTAGCACTCACAAAATCTCTGTGCCCTCCTCTTGCACAGGAGGAGGATATTTACAAAGTAAGCGTCCTTGTTCCCTGCTGAGTCTCTTAAACTTCTAAACTTCTCAAGTTGACACAATGTATTAACTATAACAGTGACAAAACCCTACAAAAAATTGGAATAGATGGTATTCATCTCAATCTGATAAAATCCATCTATGATGAATCAACAGTCAATATCATAATAAATGGACAAAAACTGAAAGCTTTCACTCTAAAGTCAGGAACAAGACAAGGATGTCCACTGTCTCCACTCTTATTCAACATAGTCCTCAAAATTTTAGTTGGAGCAATTAGACGAGAAAGAAAAGGAATAAAGAAGGAAAGAAAGAAGTTAAACTATTGTTATTTCCAGATGACATTACACTCTACTTGAAGAACCTAAAAACTCCGCCAAAAGGCTTTGAGGTTTAATAAGCAAATTCAATAGTGTAGCTGGTTAAAGTCAACACTCAAAAACAGCCTCCCTGTACACGAATAACAAACTCACTGAGAAGAAATCTGGCAAACAATGCCTTTTATAATAACATCCAAAAAAAAAAAAAAAAAGAATACCTAGGAATCAATCTAATAAAGGATGTAAAAGACCTCTATATTGAAAACTACAGTATTCTGAAAAAGGAGACTGAAGGGATTTTAGAAAATGGAGAGATATCCCATGCTCTTAGGTACAAAGAACCAGTATAGTGAAAATGGCCATACTTGCAAAACTGTTATACAGATTCAATGCAATCCCACACAAAAGTTCAACAGCATATCTTACAGAATTAGAGAAAACAATCATAAAATTCATCTGGAACCAGAAGAGACTTAGAATAGCAAAGGAAATCCTGGGCAACAGAGACAATACAGGAAGCTTCACAATCCCTGACTTGAAATTATACTATAAAGCTACTGTGAAAAAAAGTGGTACTGGCAAAAAACAAAACCAAACAAAACAAGACTCTAAGATCAGCAAGACAGATTAGAAGATGCAGAAACAACTCCAGACACACTAAAGCCACTTTATCTTTGACACAGGTGTCAAATGCATTCACTGGAAGAAAGATAGCCTCTTTAATAAATGGTGCTGGAAAAACTGGCACTGCACATGCTGAAGATTAAAACTGGACTCATATCTTTCACCAGGTACTAAGCTAAAATTAGAATGGATCAAAGATTTGAATATTAAAACAGGAACATTAAGTCTACTGGAAGAGTAGGTAAAACTCTTGAAGACATTGGTGTAGGCAAAGTCTTCATGAACAAAACTCAGCGTGCACAGGAACTATCACAAAGAATCAACAACTGGGATCTCACCTTACTGAAAAGCTTTTGCACAAGAAAAACCACCAACAGAGTGAAGGGACAAATTACAATGTGGGAGGAAAAGTTTTCCAACTGTTCCTCAGATTACTATTGAGAACATATAAAGAATTCAAAAAACATCATCCCTCCCAGATTTAAAGGCCCAGTCTAAAAATGGGCATCTGAGATGATACACGTATCTTAGATGAAGAAATACAAACAGCAAATAGGAAGCAATAAATACATGAAAAATGTTCAACATCACTTCATTCCAGAGATGCAAATTAAAAAACACTGAGATTCCACTTCACACAAGAATGGCTACTATCAAGAAATCAAGCAATAACAAATGCTGGAGGGGCTGTGGGGAAAAATGAACATTTCTCTAATATTGGTGGAGTGTAAACTGGTACAACCACTATGGAAATCAGTGTGGAGATTCCTCAAAAAACCAGGACTACAGGTTCCATTCCACCTAGCTATTCCCCTTCTGGGATTCTTTCCAAAAGAATTAAAAACATCATACCACAGTGATCTATGTGCACTCACGTTTAGTGCAGCATAGTTTGTAATAGCGTCTTGGAAATAACCTAAATCGCCTGAGGAATGGGTAAAAAAGATGTATCTTTATACAATGGAGTACTACTCAGCCATAAAGGATAAACTGGATACTTTATAGGTGAACGAATGCAACCTGAGAACATAATAGTGAAATAAGACCCACATGTGTAAACATCATATTGTTTCATTAGTGAGCTGAAAGAAAAAACATAGATGTGTATGTATATGTACATAAAAAGTTAAGACAGCTATACTACTGATTTCTCTGAGTTCACTGAAAAGAAAGATTTGTGCTGGAATCGTTCAGACAATTGAACGCAGATTTCTGACGCTCTGGGTGAATGATTTGGGGATGGCAATGCACAACGTTACCCCAACTGACATGTTTTGAAATTTTCTTGTTTTTTTTTTTTTTTTCTTTTTATCCTTAAAACAAAATGGATTTGGAAAAATATATGTATTGATAATTTCTTGCTCAGGAGGTTGTAAGTGGCTTTCTCCTGTATCAGTCAGTGTTTACTAGAGAAATAGATATAATACAAATACGTAAGAATTTACAAAGCCAGGCCAGGGATTTAGCTCAGTGGCATAAGCACCTGCCTAGCAAGCACAAGGTTGTGAGTTTGATCCCTGGTACAAAAAAAAAATTTACAAGCCTGGCTTATAATGGGTACCCAGACTCAGATGAGGAAGAGTGCAGGGTCTGTCTGCACAACAGCAATTGAAGAATCCATTCAAAGTCTGAAGCTCACTGCAGTGTCTGTGCAAGTCCATATCAGGAGGTCCACGACGGAAGGCTGGAGGATCTATGCCAGAAGCTGAAGACTTGGTGATGATGTCCAACGTGAAGGCAAAGACTGGGGCTCCTTGGAAGAAACAGCAGTGAGCCTTCCTTCTTCATTTCTCCTCTATACCATCTAGGCAACAAGCCACCCTGGGGTGGGCCTTCCACAGTCTAGGATGTGGAATTGCTGAGCGAATTCGCTTGAGCTTTATCTTACTCAAATTGACACAGTCAACCATCACATTCCATTACCTAAAATTCTGGTTTTTCTTTAAATCAATAGAAGTATTTTATTTTAATCAAAATAAAAGCTTCTAAGAGAGCAGTTGCGACGGTCCTGGTGAATGAGCACCTGCCTAGGGCCATGGCTAGACCAGGCAGCAGAGCTGGGCAGGGGGAGGGAGGTGGTCCCTTCTCTGGCTCAGGTGCCTAGCAGGTGAGGGTGCCAGAGGGGACCAGAGGTCTGGGCTGCTCAGAAAGCAAACACTGTCAGATGCCACACATGCCCACAGCCACCTCTCTCCTTGGAGCTGACTGGGTCAGCTGACCTCCATCCACTGAGTCACAAAAGCAAAACCCACCCTACCCCATGTCCCATAACTAAGGCTGCCAAGGGTCTGCCCAGTCAGTGTGGGGGAGCCCTGTATCAGGGGAATAGAACAAAGCCACTGGGGTTGGGTCACAGAGAGGGAGTTAAGCTGAAGACACGTAAGGACTCAGTGGTGTTTCATACAATCAGAACCTGTATTACACACCCACTGGCACTGTCCCCCCAAAAGAAACATCCACATTCAAATCCCTGCTACCCGTGAACAGTGACCTTATCTAGAAATATGGGCTTCACAGATGCAACTGTGACTCTCAAGAGGAGATCATCCAGCATTTACAATGGACTCAAAGTCCAATGGGGGACTTGTATAAGAAAGGAGAGGGAGAACTGAGACAGAAACACTGAGAGGACAAGGCCACGGGAAGACAGGCAGAGACAGAGGGTTGCATATACAAGCCAAGGAGTGCCAAGGGTTGTGGTAACCACTGCAAGTGGACAGAAAGGCAGGCAGCAGATTCTCCTTCACAGTATTCAGAGACAACCAACTTCTCTGATAATTTGAACTTGAACTCCACAGTAGAATAAATTCCTGCTGTTTTAAGCTGTTAAATTGGGGTGGTTTGTTATGGAAATTCTCAGGGAAAAACACTAAACACACACACCTTTCTATTTCCACAGTTCTCTTGTTCACCACCTTGAGGTCCCTGAGCAAGACCAGAGCAGGGAAAGGAACTGGACAGCAGGCACTGGCTAAGTATCTCAATTACTTGCCTCCCCCCAGAGTGGCTCATCACTGAGAAGGCAAAGAACAGTGTTTCGAGGTTGACTGTCACACACTAAGGGACTGAGCTGCAAGACTGAGAGCCCATTACTTCCTTTACACCATAGAAAGAAGTATTTTGCTTCCTAAAGGCAGATACTTCATAAAAAGAAAACCCAAGTTAATCCAATGTGTCCCTTTAATTATTTAAAGTTGCAAGCCAATATTTCTCATTAGCTTCATTTACAAACCCCACCACAATAATGAAGGAAAGGTTACTTAAATCAATAGATGAAGAAGGAAGCCCAGACAAATGAGCCAAAGAGCAAAAGGCCAAATCTGATATTCTTTAACAAAGGCAAGTAAAGGCTCACCCTTCCCAGAAAATAAATCACAGCCACACTCTTTGCCAAGATCCAAAGAAAAAAAATTTATTTACAATAGAAGATTTTATTTGAAACATGCATTCTTTAAAACAAATCAGCAAATGCGGATCAAGTTTACACTCCTTAAGGCAAGAGTCCCTATGCACGCTGTACAGGTTCATATTAAATCAAAAGCTGCTCACCCTGGGAATTCGTGTACAAAGGGCAAGGCCAAGGTCAGCAATTTGTCTTTTATTAGAGAATCAGACAATCTCCCTGATACAGGAACTCTGAGGTCAACTTGCTATGAATTATACTGGGAAAATGCAAACCAATAGCAAGAAATCCTGATAGTCTCCTTAGTAATGCATACAATCAAATCAAACATTATTTAGAAAGGAAATACAGTAGTGCATACGAAAAGTGAAAACAGAACCTGTCCCTGTAACTTCAAGGACAGCAGTGTGCCAATGGTCATATTGCACGCAACAGTCAAGTCCAGGCATTTGGTTCAGAGTTAGCTTTTCCCCATTTTGGCAATCAGTTCATCACAAATCTTGGTGAGCTCTTCTATCTCTTTGTTCTGAAAGTAAAAACAAGGAATACGTTTCTGCTGTTAAAATCAAACAATCAGAAGAGGCCCTGGGAACTTTGTGGGGATGAGTCTGTCCAGCCTCTTGCTCCCCTCCAAAGTGATCTAAGGCAGGATGAGAAATGACTTGGAACTGCACAATCTGCTCTAGAACACCTCTCTAAATCTGTGACCTGTGATCTGTGGCAAGTTACACCACCTCTCTGAACCTTGGTTTCCTTATCTTTAAAATGTAAGTGATAATGTCTGTCTGAGAAGTAAATGGTAAGAAATGCAAATAAGGTAAGGAATGAAAATAAATCAGGTTAGAAATGCAAATGAGGTATAAAAGCAGAGTGACTAGCACCGAATGCAGGGTCAGTCAGTACAGCTTTTATCTCTTTATTTGCTCTGGGGTAATGATGGTCTGGGCTATGCTCTTTGGTGGCTCTCTGGAGAAACTGCACAAGAAGGTCATGCAATCTTATGTGGCTGGGAGCACTAGCATTATTTGGAAGATGCCCCCTAGTGTTGCTGTGGAAACAGGTGTTGTGAAGGAGGCACAGTGGAACCTTGCACATCCTTGCACATCCAATCAAGGCAGCTGACCATATGTTTGTGTAGTAGTTGTTTCCTAGCCTGTATGACAGGATCCAGTGAGATGTTCCCATCATGCACAGACCGCTTAGCTCTCACTGAGCTAGACAATGAGTCCCCAGGCTGAGCTGCTTCAACTGCACAACTGTCTCTGGGGTCTTCTCCAAGGGGACAGGTCTTTTTGGCATCCTGGGTACATTTTGCAGCCTCAAAGTCTCTATGGGAAGTCAATCATTAGCAAAAATCTATCCCTGGAGTTGTACTGAGTCCCTTTCCTGGAAACTTCAGGACTTTCTGAGACATATCCCAGGTCAGAAACATGAACTCTGCTTTAAGGGTAGGACTCCTGGTGCCATGCATCACAGAGCCATGCAGGTGGAGAATGAGTCTTTTATGGGACAGGGAAAAGCAGTCTACCTCGAGCTGCCTCACTTCCTGCTAGAATGTATGCTCTGAGGTCATGATTCAGAGATGCACTGCTGGAAGACAATGCTCTGAATGGGATCATGGGCCCTTTAGGACCATGAATCCTCAAGTTATCATCGTCAGTACCACCAATGCCTTGCTGGGCTGCTAATGATAAATGTTGATCTTATTGGAGTGCTTGCTATGTGGCAATCACCATGCTAGACACCCTGGGTACTGTACCTCATTCAGTTCTCATGACAGTCCTTTAAAGGAAGCCATTAATAACCCCATTTTTTTCAGTGAGGAAACTGAGGTTCAAAAACCCTGAGCATTTTGCTTACAGTCACATAACCCGTCACATATGGCCAGCCTGGAATACAAACTCAAGTTGAACTGATAACTATATAGCTTTGTTATTATACTTATAAAATAAAATGCCAAGTGACACAAGGTTAAGAAGCATGAGCAGACTCTTGCTGGGGAGGGGGGTACTGGGAATTGAACTCAGGATGCTGTGCTTGCCAGCCAGGCGCTTACGCCACTGAGCTATATCCCCGACAGACCCATCAGATTCTGATGCCTGGAGGTTTTCCAAGCTCTCTCCTGGGAGCATCAAACTGCCCCATGAAGGAGCACAGCTCAACATATCTGGCATATTTGGCACAGTCCAGGCTCTTTCCTTTTAAAATGCAATTTGGATACTAAATTGTCTGCTATCAGTCTTTTTTCATCCTAAGAGGAAAAGGTAGAATGAAAACAGTTATCTGTACCACGTGATTTCAAGCTGTCTAGCAGTTGTAACAAGTGGGGAATGACTTGAACTTCAGGAAAATTCATGCCTAACAGGTTTTCAGAGCCTAGAACAAGCTTTGCCCACAGCTGTATGGATGCTCCTTAATTCCCAGGGTTCTAGCCCTGATACCATCTAAGTAAAGTGAGACTTAGTATTTTACTGGGGCAGAAGTTACCGCTGTTTGGCCAAGATGTCCCTCTAGACCATGCTGGAACCTCAGAGTAGTACAGGCCATCTCGGAGACAGGCTGATGCTTATTTGCCTGCCAATGCAAAGTGTCCACTGACGCTTACATGTACAAAATGTGCTACCCCAGGCTGCTAAGCTCTGACAACCAGGGGAATCTTAAGGTTCAGCAATAAACTGAAAGGAAGCTACATGTCTAGAAACCTCCCTCATTCAAGAAACACACCAGGAACAGGTCTGCTCCCATGTAGACAGACTCAGCCTCCTGCTCTTAGAGCGCTCCTGGGCTGACAGAGTTCCTCATTTGGACACCCAGGGAGGAGGTATACATAGTGGGTTGAGTATCAAATGCAAATTTGGAAACTGGGGGACACGCACAGTGACCTCAGGAGGTTTGCTCCTTATCCATGGAACAAGTGGACATCTGGGCCCTTCTGGGCCCGACACTCTGTTCTTGGGGTCAGCCCATTGCCTCTTCCTGGGGCTTGGTGGGTACCCCATCCATGCATTAGCAGGCACCTTGGATACAGGCATTCAAATCAAGTAATGCTTGGCACATTAGAGGTCCTTAACAGATTTTATACAAATGAATGAATAGTATAAAGGAAAATGAAAGTAAATATCTAGAGAATTTCAGAAAAGGAAGAAAGGAGGCCCATCTCAGGGCTGGTGTAGAACTGGAGATAATGGTATGTTCACAAAGAATTGTGCTGGCTCTGCCTCTTAGCTCCACCTCCTTTTATATGCTGGAATGGCCACCGGCAGGACAGCACCAGCCCCACCCACAGAAGTCCCGGCTCTTGTCTTGTTACCTTCTGCTCCAGTGTCCTTTCCAGAGCATCCACTCGCAGCTGCTCCTTCCGCAGGCTGGCCTGGTAGGCAGCTTGCTCTTGCTGGGCCTTGCCTCGAACCTGGGCAATCTCAGCGTTGGCCCTGGAGGAACAGGGGGCTCAAAATGATCATCCTTTGTCATAGGTGGCTACAGATTACCACAGGTATTTCCTATCACCCTTCTCTCAACTCTGGGCAGGAGGAGGGACTGGCTCCAATTCCATTGACCAGAGCCCACACATAGCAACTCAGTAAAGCCTCTAGCCCCAATGCCCACAGGGTTGAAATGCTTTGGGTACCATAATCACTACAACACATGCCCCTCCCCTATCACAGTGGATACTAATTGAGAGTGTGCCCTTAGTACTGATCATAGCAAAAAACATGCATGGATCAGCTGCCCTCTCCAAAGCAATGTCAGGGACTGGAACTGCCAACTGGAAAGGGATATGTTACCTGTCCAGTTTCTCCTCCGCATGCACCTTCAGGGCCTGGTACCTCTGCTCCTCTTTCTTCACTCGGGACAGGTATTCCTGGGCACATTTCTTCAACACCTCTTCATTCTGGAATGACAGAGGATGGGGATCAGACTCACAAGAAGAAATGTCAGGAGTCTCAAGAACCCCACAAACTCTAGGGTACAGGTAAAATTCCAGAAGGTCAAGTCTGGTTCCTGAGCCTTGAAGGATCCTCCTCTTCACAATCTGCTCAAGGTGGACCTGGCATCCCCACTAGATTCTTCCAAAAGCTCCCACCTTCACCAGCCTCCTACTGTACCATGAATGCAGACACACCTTGCGGAAACCTTCTAAGACTTCCTTCATTTTCTCGTATCTCCTGAAAAGGTCAGCCAGGGACTTCTCCACGGAGTTCAGGTCGGCCAGGGCTTGCTCCTTCTCCAGGACCAGCTGCTGCACTGTCTGGTGGGATACTGACTTCTCTCTTTGTTCATCCTCTGGCAGGAGAGACAGGGGGGCAAACAATGGCACCTGAAATCCATATTGGATCTCTGGGGCCAGCCAAGCCCTTGGATGCAACTCAACCTACCCACTGGGTGCATTGCAAACTCAAGGTCTTTCCTGGAACAGACCCTCTTCCCGAAGTCCTTTTAGATGGTCTGTAAAGTACAAAACCTACAGCCCCAGCACCTCAGACCTGGTCCTATACAAGTGGAAATTCACCATTATCCTTTGGCCTGATCACGCTAGTCCCTTACAAATCTACCCTAGAGAACCCAGTGATTCTATTTTTCCCTACAGCAAACAGATCCAGCAGATAAAGAAGATATCACCAGGGGCAAGATTAAAGGGTGCTATGATCTTGGCTTGAGGGGTGAGCCTCTCTAAAAGTTAGCCATATATAGACTATCACTGGGAGAGAAAAAAATTTCCTCACCCCTAAAACACCCCATAAATAGCCCACAAAACTTTCTCCCCTAAATCCTATTTCACACTGAAAGTTTCTTTGACACTGCAAGCTCTCACCTCAGTGATGTGCATCAGAACTGAATGTGGGTCCAGTTTGGAGTGCCAGTCCTGCTTTGAGAACAGCACTAATCTTCAGCTTGTCCCACTGGCTTGTGACCATCCTGAGCTAATCTCCTACCCCAGACATCCCAAACTGTGCTGATGAGACTGGTCTCTCCAACCACTCTATACACTGCCACTGTATGCACTGACCCTGGGGGTGCGGGGGGAGGTGAGGCAGCCTTTGCTCTCTGGGTAACAGCAAGTGGGGAAGGGGGAGGCCTTGCTTGGAGCTCCTGAGGTACATGGCTTAGCAACCTTGACTTTCTGTGAGCCTCAGCTCATCTAGGAGAGGACTGACTCTAAGGGCTGGCTGCCATGAGTAATTATATCTAAAGGTGGTGACAGTGACAGCAATAGTAACCACCAACTTTCCTATGCCAAGCACTATGCTGACAGCTCTGCTCAGCAAATGCTCTGAGCCAGCACCCTGTAGCAGATAAGCCTCCTAAAGTGCAAACCAGGCCACCTCACTCCTGCTCAGAAAACCCCGATTGCCTACCCTATGCTAGGAATAAATTCACATTCTCCACCCTCTGTCTTCCCTGGTCTGTCTGCTTTAGCCTGATGGCCTGCCACACAGGAAGCCCTAGAAGCTCCCCAGGTCTCCCCCAACCAGGACTCTGACCTGTCACCTTGGAAGGTGTGCAATGTGCCACTTCTACACTCTCCAGTCCTTCATTCTCCTCCTGGGAGCAGCAGCCCCTCTGTATTATTATACCACGCATGTGCGTACATGTGCGCCTGGGAAAATGTATGTGCTGGCTGCCCATCTCCCCACTGTACACACACTCTTCAGGGGTGGGCACCAGTCTAGTTTTTTGTCTGTTTGCTGAATCGATTGTTTTATGCACTGCTCTATCCCAGGGATAAAGAACATCTCTCCCCAAGTAATCCCTCCACATGGTCCATGTGATCAATGAACAGGTGAACCTTATAGCCATGCAGGTGGAGATTTTCTTGTTTTTATTTTATAGAAGATGAAATGGAGTCACTGTTCACTGACAGCAGAACCCAAACCCAAAGCTCTGATCATGACCACATTTTTACGTAGGGATCCCGTGTGGACAGGCTTTGAAAGACACAACTCCTGTAACAGCAGGGAGGCTTGGGCTGGGTGCTCTTCCCAATACATGGACATCTTGCCACCCTGCAGTGTGCTATGGTGGGGCCACAACCTGAATGGCCCTGGTGATCCCAAACATCAAAGTGCTCGCAGATCCTGATCTAGGTGGCTGTCATGTGTGAGTGTGTACCCCAGTCAGCTGGAGAGCATGTACACGGATTCTGCCTCCACTCACACTGACCAGGACCAGGAATCTACACCTCCTCATGACAATCTCCTCATAATGCAGGTGCTGGTGGCCTAGGGACCACTGGCAAGAAGATGCTCAATGTCTTTCAACCCTGCCTCTGTGGTCACAGGGCTCTTAGCACTTTCACTACCAGCAGTCTGGAGCCACATGGGGCAATGGCCAAGAGACTCCTAAATCTAACTGTCCATTTGAAGCCTGGCTCTGACGCCTTCCAGCTGTGTGACCTTGGGCAGGGGTTTTGCACTCTGAGTCTCAGTCTCTCCACCTGAAATCAGGAATGACACTATTTCTAACTCATTGGGGGAGGAATAAATGAGACTATATACAAAGTCCTCAACACCAGGAAAGAGCCTGGTAGCAGTGATTCATTATCAACAGCATCAGTCCATAATGAACCCAGTAAACCTCCCCTGAATCCATGTGACACAGTGTGCACACTTGACTCGTGCAGGACAGGGGTGTCTAACACAGAGAACTGAGTAATTAGCTTGCTCCACCCATTCTCTTCAAAAACGGCATTTTCAATGTTTTATCTGGAATCAAATGCTTGTTTTTGTTGCATTTTAGGTGCTTCCTTAGTTCCCAGCACACCCCGGGCTGACACGCCATCACCACATATACATTTCACCCACGGAGGGGAAAGGAGTCATTTATCAGACAGAGTCTATCTGATTTCCTGGATCCAAGACATCTCCTGCCTCAGGTTTCCTTTCCTCCCCATCTAACCCTTGTAAAAATAGAACTGCCCAGTTCCCAGGAGACTGAGGCGATGAGAATGGTGTGCAAATCTTTTTATACATGACCGGTGTTGTCAGGCTCTTCATATCAGGAAATCAGCCTTAGACCAGCAATGCAATGCACTCGGCAACAGAACAATGCTTTTCTGGCTTTTTCAGCAAAACATTATTAAATTATGTGGGGAATGCAACGAATACACCAAAGCAAAAACAACAAAAATAGAAAAACAAAACACAAACAGGGGTTGCAATGGGGAAAATTAGGGGAAAAGCATTTACTTACCAGGCTTGCCTGTTTGTTTTGCAAGCAAAGGGCAAGAAGCAACAGAAAATGGAAGCAAAACAGATAATCAGGGCAGTTGTTAGGAAAGCAGAAAAAAATCAATTGCACAACCTGGAATGCAGAAAGCACAGAACTCTTTTTTCTAAATTCTAAACAGCCAGTATCTGAATTTGGTAAGACACATCTGATGAGAGGGAGCAATAATGGCAGGGCCAAAGTCATACGTGTGGAGAGCCATCTGTAAAAGCCCAACAGAAGCTGCAGAACCACACAAGCTAGCCAGATGAGCTGCATTCATGTCAATTTCAAATGTTTATGCTCACGCTGGTCCTGAACTGTTGTTTACAGGGCCTCAGTCTGCCCGACCCCAAGTGATGCTGGTTAGGTGAGTAAAACTGGGAAAGGAAAGTCTGAAATACACATAAGGCTCAAGGGGGTGCTGCAACTCACACCTGCCCAAAAAAGGTGTTGTCCAGCCATGGCTACAGCCCAGGCCCAGTCAGGCCTCAGGCCCCCGCAGTCTTCTATGCGGACACAAGGACCTTAAAGTATATAGTGGCTTTAACCAATGACCTGTAATAGTAACTAAACGATGACAACCATGGATGTGCCACCTTTGGGGTGAGAAAGGCTTTGGAAAAGTGGTAACAAAGAGGACAATGAACGCAGATGGGAACAGACACAGAGATCACCCTGAGCGACCCTGCTACTCCCAGCTGGACTCTGGAGGGGTCTCTCAGAGCTACCCAGAAGGTAGAGAAAATTGCTTAAAGGGGATGAATCTGCAGTTCTTGGAGAGAAAACCTCTGGCCAAACACACAAGTGTCCTTGGGAGAAAGAGGTGGTCTATGTGGCCAAAATCCCTGGAGTCGGGGAAAGGCAAAGCTGTCATTCTCTCAGAGATCAAGCTGGAATTGCACAGTGTACACTCTCCATTGCCTGAGATGGAAAACACCCCAGCGGCTGTCATCTGAAAGTATTCTGTAAGGAAAGCCTCAAAGTCTAGTAAGTTTTCTATCACACAACGACTGGCCATCCATGCTACTTAGGGAGGTCCTCACATGTCTGAGCTCTCAAGAGTCTGCTTGTATCAAATTTGCCAGCTAACCAGGAAAAGCTGGCTGTGTGGGCAGCCTTCTCTCAGGAGCAAAGCTCAAGCCCTTCAAACCTCATTCTAATGTCTGTCCACGCATAATCACCAAGGGCAAAACTACAAATGTATGTCTCAGATGTTTCCAGATGGGCTCTGGCAGGTCTAAGTGATACTCTCATGTCCCAAATCTCCAGGAGGTGAAAGGTTTGCTCAACTTGGCAGATATTTCATATTGGAACGTACAATGGTATCTTTGTTTATAGACTTAATTTGTTTGACAATTTTGGGGAAGATGGCTGCATTTGTGTGTGAGGTGATAGCTGTGATCATTTGTCAGCCTATGTGTAGTTTGAGAGTGGAAGCAAATTTTTGTTTGGAAACTTAATTTTTTAGAAACAGAAGCACTCACGGACCAAGGTATTACTGTAAATCCTTTATCATCCTGACCATTTTTACCAACAGTTTCAATTTCCAGAGTTTTAAAATATTTTTATCTCACCAATAGGTGTTCACAAATTCTTAAGCTGATTTACCATATTTCATTTGACAGAAAGTATACACAGTGGGCTGATGCAATCAAGTGGTCTTTTTTGGAGCACAGAGTGAAATGGTCTTGATTATAATAAACCATAATTAAAGCTCTTCTGAGCCTGCTGCAACAGTGTATGCCTATAATCCCAGCTATCCTGGAGGCTGAGGCAGAAGGATTCCAAATTCAAAGTCAGCCTGGGCAATTTAGGTGCCACTGTCTCAAATTTAAAAATAAATGGGCTAGGGTTATAGGTCAGTAAGGGGCTCTGAGCTCACCGAAACAAAAACAAAATAACACATAAAAAACTCTTTTGCAAGGTACTCAATGGCCTCTTCAATGAGGCTATTATTCTATTTATTTTGGGACAAGCCAAAGGGGGGGTGTGACTTATAAATTCAAGATTTTGAGCAAGAGCTTATTTGTAAACTTGAACATATTGATGGTGATTTGCAGGGACATGGAGTTTTTACTACATTTACCCTTAGGGGAAGAAGATTTTTTAAACACTGAACCTAAAACTGAATAGCTAGAAAGACACACCAAGTCTTAGTATCACTTCTGAACAGTGATTCTTATTGTAAAAACTTGGGCTCAGCGTTTCTGTAAGATCTTCTCTCATTATTAAAAAAGAAAAAGATGATGTAGAAAAGAAAATAAAGGCACAGCTGTAACTTGTGACCCAAGGCCTTCTTTTATCAGGGGCCAAAGCAATTTGTCAGAGCTGTGGCCGAGGCGCTTTGTTAAGATAGATGCTGAGGCAGTGTCCAATCTCAGGAAGAAAGAGTGTTGGTACTGGCAGGGTTCTGGACAGTTGCAGAAGGAAAGGGGACAGGGTAGGCAGTCACCACAGATTCCACTTCCTGACCCTAGAGCCCTGGGTAATGGCTGAGTGGGAGAATTTTGTCACTTGAGTCCAAACTAAAATAAAGTACAGTAATTTGATTCGTATTTTCTCCCATGAGCAAAACTTAAAAAGTCCCAAACATCACAGGGGCAAACTTCAGTCTCTTCCTATGAGGTGGACAGTCCTTTTATGGCCTATGGAGGTGACCACCGTGTTCCCCATAGGCATTAAGAATGCTAAGCCACATCCGGATGTTTGTTCCAAGAAGTCCTGGCGCCCCACCCTGAAGCAGAGCCCACTCATCAAGCTGCTCTCAGTCCTCCTGCAGAGTTCACACTCTCAAAGGCCTCCACCCTCGAAGGTGTCCCCCAGCTGGGAAACCGGCAGGTAGGGTCAGGACACTCACCTATCATCTGTGCAATTGTCTTCTCATATTCAGCCACAATCTTCCTGCAAGAGACAGAAAGGCAGGTTGGCCCAGGGCTTACTTGCTCACAGAGGCCTAGGAGCTGGAAGCAAACAATGTGACACCCTGTACTCTCAACTGTCCCTGCACACCCCCAAGAGCTTCTGAACACAGTGTTTCCTCCATACGAATCCCTCTGCCCCTTCACTGCCCACCACGGCCAAACCTTCGGCCCAGTGACTGAAGCTTTCTGTGACCGGGGCCTGATCTCCCTCAGCAATCTCACGGCCTCTCAGCCCTCTCAGGAACTCAGTGAACAATGAGAACAAAGGATTTCTTGTGGTTTTCTGGCCTCCATGCCCTGTCCACGTTCACTTTCCCTCTCTACCTCCACCTCTCAGTCTGCTTCTTAAGGTCTTTCTCAAATGCTCCCTCCTTCATTCTAACATGTCCTCTGTATGTTCTTTCACAGCCTCTCAGGTCTGGCCTTATAGCACATAAGCCCCATCTTCTCCTTGAGGAGGAGCAGTTCCTCAAGGCCTGCGGCCACTTCTTGCTTGCTCACTTGTGTTTTGGGAGCAGGGGATGGGTTTAAAGGAGCACTTCTTAGGGAGTCTCATCAAATAGCAGCTGCACACAAACCTAAAGCCTCCACTTACAAACTTGCTTCTTAGCTACCCCCAAGTGAAAGCAGCAAAGTGTGATGAGCCCTCCTTCCAAAGTTGATCTTCAGAAAGAAAACTTGGGGAAAGGTGCAGAGTTTCAACTGCATTTCTCAGTGATAGTTTCCCCAAGAGAACCAACAGATGCTAACGGCCAAACATTCAGGACTACCCGAAGGACAGAAGTCCAAAAAGACTCAAGGCTAAGTGGCCTGGGCTCCTCTAATCTGCCTCGGGGGCCTATGTGATTCTGGATCAGGAGCTGGGGGCTCCATTACTATCTGGTGTGGGATGACCCTTGTGTCTGACCTGAGGCTCTGGGGCAAAGTTGGTAAGGTTAAAGGCATAATGAAAGCAGAGGCATTCTGCAGTCTGAAGGCTTCTCAGTTATTGGGCATCTGTCCCTGGCTTCTAGGCCTTCATTCCAAGATCAATACCTCAACCTGACAGATCCACAACAAGAAAGGTACCCGTGACAGAGCTGTCTTGGTCTTTTCTCTATCCTACACATAAGGATCCCTGTGTTTTCTGTGATTAAGCAAAACCTTGCATCTAAGAATCACAGCACCACGAGGCAGATTTGTGTTCTTTTAGAATCATGGGGCTACCATGGATCTCAAAGTTGCTTTAGTACACTGGGTTTTCAGCCTATCTTCCCAGGGACTCCAAGAGATGGTATTCTCACCCTGCCTGGCATCACTGATAAGGATTCCAGAACATGTAGACCCAGAAATCTCCCCAGGATCCCAGGGCTTCAATGTGGCAGAGCTAAGGAGTAACCCAGGTGTCAGGCTATAGCACCTTGGTTCACAGCACTTGTGCCCTACACTTTTGAGGTACCTCTTTCCTCATGTGGAGATGAGGAAACTGGGGAACAGAGTTAAACACCAACCCAAAGCAACTCAGAAAGGATGTAATTTTTACCTGGCGTGGCATCAGAGGCTGCAGGGGCCATCAAATGCCAGTGCTGCTGCACCAGCAGGTGACATCTGAAATCCTACGCTGTTGGTTAATAAACAGTACCTCTACGTCCCCCTGGGAGGCAGACTGGCCTTCTCAGTATGTCCTGTTCTTCTCAGTGCAGGTAAAAAGCTAGAATCACTCAATACCCCCTACCTCCTCCCAAAAGAGATATTTTTAAAGACAAAAATAATGTAGCTGCAGGGTTTCAGTTTGGATGTGGAAAACCACGCTTGGTTAATCTCCAGATGTGCTAGGTTGAAAGCATCAGTGGAAAGAATAAAAACATATGGATTTTTAGGTAGATCTTACTATAACCTAAAAAAACAGGACCTAAAAAGTGTGCTTCCTACTCAAAATGGTAGCCATGAATATAACTGATTTACATACTAAAATAGCATTCACCACTGCAGTTAAATACACTACGTATTACAGGGTGGCTATTTATTTCTATTACAGAACAGAACAAATGAAAAGAAATCACTCAAGGGAAATTAGAGTTGCAGAACTGGAGGCTGGTAGAGAGGGGAATTTTCATCACACATGTTTATTGTACTGTACTTAACCAAGGTGCAGGCTGTCTTAATAATACTGATTTACTCTCATAAAAATGTGACCCTTGCAAAATGAAGAAAAGAAGATTTCTCTAACAGAAGATAAATTTGGAGACCCCGCGAATACCAGCACTATCAGGCCACAGGTCAGCTCCCCCAGGCACCAGGAGGCCGAGTCCCACGACTGACCTCATCTCCATCACTTCCCGCCTGCTTTCTTCATATTTATCTTTCCACTCTGAGACCTCTCTCTCCTTAGTGATGACCTAGTATCAGGGAGAAGAAAAAGGTGAACTCCAAATGAGTGAATTCCAGTTGGACCAAATCAAGGCGATATCAAATAAGCATATTAAAACTTTCTAGACCAACACCTAATTACATTTGGAGACTTAAAGAGCAAGAGATAGAAATAAACCAGTGATTAGACTTTTGCAATGCCCATGGGGAAGGTAGGTGCTTGTTATACATCAAACAAAGCCAAAAGTGTCTGTTACCATGATGTCTAGATCAGACCCCCAGAGTGTCACATATCTTTGTCTGTAGTGTCCACAGGAGAAAGTCTGTCTCTGAAGACATTGGCTTTGTGGCTATATATACATACTTATTTATAAGTGACAGGCACCATCTTTCCCAGGGCAGCCAGAGTAGCCCTTTTCCAAGCCACATGCTGCAGTACCTCAGCTCTGGCAACCTGGAGTGCCGAGTCCAGATCTGGCTGCTGGAACAGAAGGCCTGCAGGCTTCTCCACCTCAGTGGTCCCGATGCGGGAATACAGGGCTGTTTTGGAGATGGAGACATCTGGTGGGTGAGCTGCCTCTCTCTGTGGAATGAGTTTCCATTTAAAAAACAGAAGTGAAAATAAAAAACACTCCAGTTAACATTCACCATATAACAAAGAGGGCTCTATCATCCTGCTGTGAATTGCATTCATCCTCAGTTGCACGGTTTTGAAACAAAAAACATCCAAAGAATGAGAAAATGCAGACTAACGAATGGGGCAATGGCAGGTACAATTGATGGAAATTCATCATTTTGTACCGGTGCAGGCAGATGGAGGCACCGATAATGGAGAAGCCTCGGCAACTTGGAGCCCTGGGAGTCAAGTGTGTCTGGAGCTCACATATCGCTGCCATTTATCAGATACCAAGCCACTCAGGCATTGTGCCTGAGGACCGAGGTTATGATCCTGCAGGCTCCACTGCCCAGTGAAAATCCTGCTATGAATGATACTGCATTCTACCCTACATTTGCCTTGCTTTGTCTGAATAACAACAGATTTGATCACTTTTGTAAGACTGGCTACATTTCAATTTAGGGGGCCATTTGTTTGAAAGGATCCATTTGAAAGGATGTGATTCACACAAATTATCAGGCCTACTGTAGTCTTCAACTTCAGCAAGCTATAGTTTCTGGACATGAAGAGTTATGTTTCCATTAAGGCTGTTACATCAATAGGAAACCTGAAAACTGGGTCAATCAGAATATCCACATTTGCTGATTAGACCTGCAATGAGTGGTACAACCCCTGCCCCACCCTACTGACACTGCAGCGAGGCATTCTAGCCTTCTGCAGGTGACAAATGCTAGCTTCAGAAAGGTTAGGAGCAGACTGTGATTATTCTTAGCACAAAACACTCAGCAATTTGCAGCAGAGCTGAAAAGCAGTGTTAGGAGCATCGTCAGTCAACTTGGCCAGGTTTGTCAGCCTACTTCTACCACAACAGAAACACATCAACTGCACTCTCAGTCCTATTCATCAACATCATAGTGCTGTCACAGCTGCCAAGGTGACCTGAAGCCTGGTTACAAACCCACTGCAAGGGAGGTAAAAGTGGTCTAACAGGCTCCTTCGTTGGGCAAGTATGAGAATAAACTGAGTGGTGAACAGGACACCACGGTATAGTGCAGAGAGATTTGGACAGAGGATGGAGATGATAAAATGCAGCAGGTAAGATAACAGAGCTAGCAGCAAACGGAAGAGGTAGATAGAACACACACAAGCAAAAGGACTCTGTGATCACAAGAAACACCATGCTTACCTTATTACTACAGCACCAGGGACCATGCTCTTATGGAAGGAAACAGTTTGGAAAGCTCAGGTGTAAGTTTAATGGATAGGACTGGAGATTATCGAGTTAGGGCTAGTTAGTGGTACACATGCAACACCATCATCTAGGCTGTCTGGGAAGAGACCTCCTGTTGCCTTGATTTCACTGGCCCTACCTGGCCTCCAGTCCTTGGGCTTTCCCTGAAGTGCTGTCACCTGATCACCAGGAGCACACAGCTTCAGGCAACCAGACCCCAGAGACTCACAGGTCAAATGGGCTGCCGGGACCTGCCAACCTCTAGTCCTTGAGACACCTCCGTTAACAGGACACCCGACCAGAGCACAAGTGACTAATCATGGGCAGCAGGAAGACTGGGCTGTCAGAAGAAAGGGCACTCCCAGACCACCAGGCTCTGCACGGATGGGCTCATCATTGCTATCGGAAATGGCTTCCACAAGTCTACGTGTTACAGAGAAACTTCTTAAAAGTAGCTGGAAATTACATCTAGTACCTGCAAATTATATCCACACTCAATACCTGCAATCAGGAGAAAGTACGTAAGCAAACAATTCTGAAAAACACTTAGAAAAAGAAAAACACTACTCCTATTGCTTTAAAATGTGTTCTTTTAAAAAATTAGAAAAACAAAATTTAAAAATGAAAAGGAGAATCAGAGACATCACACTCAACCTGGTCCTTCTGAATACAAAGCAATTGAGGTTCGGAGAGATTTGGTGTAAAGGTTTCTTAAAACAGTGTTCACCTCTGACCCAAAATAAACTGGCTCCTTTAGGTATTGGAGAACATTAATTTAATTAAAATTGACCTTAGTTGAGGCAGGAAGATTGCTGCAAGTTTGAGACAAGCCTGGGCTACATACAAAGTGAGCTAGAGCCCAGCCTGAACTGCATATCAAGACTCAAAAAGACAAAACAAACAAACAAAAAAGAAAAAGAAAAACCACCCTAACTTTACCATACTAGGCAGGAGGCAAATATCACCAATGAAAGAATTAATGTTCTTTATGCTTTTTAAAACAAGGAACTGAATGGAAAAATGAATAAAATAATGATCTTTCTAAGCAAAAGTAAAGGGATATTACCCTACTGAGTGATTTATAGTCACTTTTCATTGCAGCCACCTGGTGTTTCCAGTAAAGGAACAAATGACTTTGAGACCCATTTAAATTAATGCGCTTATCCACATATTAATGAAATTCATCACACACAGTCTGGTTTCTCCTTACAACCAAGAAACGTTTCAAATGAAACTAAAAGGTTTGTCTCTCATGGCTATTTTAAGATCAGATATTTTTAGGCTCAGTTTTGTTTCTCACATAATTTTCTACTTGCTACTTTAAAGAGGCCCCAAAAAGCCACTAAAATCACAAACTGAAATGTAAAACTGGCCACACGCCAGAAAGCAAGGGTCTTTGCAAGCAACTTCAGTGCTCAATCTACTCCTTAAGTCCTGGGTCCTGTGAGAATCCTGGGCCCACCAAGACCCCTCCAGATCAGCAAGCCTTAAGAAGCCTGGCCCACTGCAGGCCTCACAGCCAGGAGATACCCTGTCACTTGCCGTAGCTCACAGTCCTCTTTGTGGTCTTTCCTGTCCGAAGACCTTAGGGGCTTGGGTGGTAGCAGGATCCCTGTCCCAGAGCAGTCAGAGGCCAACTGTGGAGGGAACACGTGTAGACCTAAGGCTTGGACAGTCATGTGAGAGCACCCACAAGCCATGATTAGCTAGTGTGAGTCCATGGAATATGGATAAGTACTCAGAGGGTATGAGCCACATGGCACCAACCATCTAGTCCTTAAACACAGGCTCCAGGTGATGACTGTGCACTCTTAAAACTGCCAAATAAGCCGAGGCCTCCAAGATAGCCCTTTGTTACTGCTCTCCAGGCTGTTGTCAGAGCTTTCAAATTTGTGTCCTTCTGTGACCCCACTGTCAAATGGAGCTGTCAGAATATGGCTGGTGAAGAAACAGAACACAATGCCAGGCTGCCCACCAACAATACAAGCTATCCCTCAACTCAGCTCCTGCAACATTCAGGTTCCTGCTTGTTCAAATCAGGACTCTTGGAGAAATCAGACAAAGGAGTCATACCATGTCCACTCCCTACGTGTTGGCTGCTACCATCCTGAAGCTTACCATTGCACAACCTCAACCTCCAGTCCTTCCTGTTTCATTTTGTTTTTTGGTACTGGGAATCAAACTCAGGTCCTTGTACTTTGCTGGGAGGAGCTGAGCTGCTGAGCTACATCCCTGACCCTCATCCTTCAATCTTTATTGCAGGTCCCTAGAAAGCCCAACAGCTCCAAGATTACAACCAGAGGTCACACAAATCATAGTAATGGCCCTGTGCTTTGCAATGGCCTTGGAAAGTCATACAGTCGGGACATTCAGATTCCATCCAACTTGATTTATGCTAAACCCGGGCTTCTTGCAGCATATCCAACAACCCTGCTCAAATTCACTCCCAGGGAGAAAAGCAAGTTTGGCCAGAAGTCTGTAGGAAGAAAGTAAACATGGAGTTGCAGCCCAGCACCCCAGTTTCTAGAAGCCTCTTGTTTCTAACGAGTTTTGACTAGTGAGAAAGGAACCTTCACTGTAATTCCTCAAAGGCCAACTGAGTTCTGTCAGGCTAAAGAAAAATGACAGGTGAAGGTGCTCTAAGAAACAACCAGTTATACCTCCACCCCCATTTGCTGACTTTCATCCTTTTGACAGGATATCCCTTATTCCAAATGCTTCTTCCATTTTCGTGTCAGCACCATATGCCAGACAGGGCTCTATCACCTGCAGCGGAAATACAGCAACAGAAAGAAGAGCAAGCTGGATACCCAGCTGCTGTTTTCTCTGTCTCTATATCAGACTTTTGCAACACAGTGAGGGGTCATCAAGAATCTATATGCACAAGGAACCCACAGGGACCTACCTGCAGGTAAAAGGATCCCCCTCAGGCTGGCTAGCTACAGAAAGAGCATCTATTTCCCATGGGCCAGAGTTATCAGATAATGCATTTTCCAAAAGTGATACATATTCCTATGGTAGAGAAAGATGTTCCTTTTACTCCAAGATAGCTCTACCCCAATAACCTGTTAGTGTGCATTTCAGAAATACGTAAGGTCAGGCCCACACCCAGTGGACCCATGTGACACTATTTGCTAAATCAAAACTGGGACACATGGTCAGAGAACCCCAAAATAGTTCCAGCCCAGCTGAAACACTCAGCAGACTATGCTCAACTTTGCATCAGTTCAGGAAAAGTACCACACCTATAGCAGCCAAACTTAGACAACTCACTCTGCTTTTAAGCCATTCTGCAAGGATATAAAGAGATAAACGTAGGGTGTGTGTGTGTGTGTGTGTGTGTGTATGTGTGTGTGTGTGTGTGTGTGTGTGTATGTGTGTGTGTGTGTGTGTGTAAGGGGGACTTCATTGCTTAATGGTTTTTAAAATTCTCATTTTCATAGAAACTTAATTCAATTTTATAGTTTGGCAATAAGAACATCAATATCACTGATCGGTATTTACTTTCTTACCCCTGCCCAGAGTCTCATAATCCCAGCGTGACCACCTCCTATCTCTGGGAGGGGTCTTGCTTTGGGTTTCAACCAAGAAGACCACATGTGGGCCCTTGTGACATAGTAGCAGCTGGAAAACCTACTCCCACACCAAATACAACTCCTCCGTGGATGAAACAAACAGGCAGGGCACCATCTGGAGACTGGAGTTCTAGGCTCAGCCTAATAAATGGCTTGGTTTCCTCATCTGTATAAGAGGGCCTCGAACCACTTCCAGCAGAAATGCTGTGCACATCTGACCAGCTAAGAGGCAAAGGTAAATTGTTGGCTAACAAGAGTGCCTTCCTTTAATTGCACACCTGCCACTACCAGGCGTAGGGTAGCCCTCCACCTGTCCTCTGAAGTTCTCATGTAACCAGCAAACTCACTGTCATGAGCCATCTCACAGGCGGAAAAGCCAAGGCTCACTGAAGTTCACTATTTCATACAAGGCCACAGAAGTGGGGTCCTTCTCAGGTTTGACACACCAAGTTCACAGGACTGTCCAACTCAGGTGGGATGAAGGATTAAGAGTCCTCACCCACAGCCCGAGGGCAATGTGCCACCTGCATATCATCAGCAACCCTTTCAAAGTGTACAGAAAAATGACCCCAAGTCTGGAAGTTATCCAGAAAGATTTCTGCACACCCTTGTTCATACCACACTCCACTGCAAAAGCAAACAAACTGGCCCACAGGTGAAATGGCCTACTGCTCTTTTTTGTTACAAAAAAAAAAAGGAAAATGTGGGAAGAAAAGAAAGAGAAGGAAGAGGAGAGAGGAAAAGAGTTTTCCTGGAATGACACCACACCATTTCTCTGCATACTGCTTGTGACAGGCAAGCAGCTGTGACACAGACCAGATGTGCCCCCTATAAACCTGAAATGTGTACCAGCAGCCCTTCACCAATGGACTATCAACTGGTATCTTACACCCAATGTCTCAGGGCAGGTGTTGCCTTCACTTACTAATTACTGCTGATTCTCAGTCAAGTATGATGTGAACTTGCAGAAAAGAGAAAAGTTGCAAATCCTTTTTGTTCACAGAGAAGCAAATGATATTTATAGAAAAAAAAAGCCTCAAAAGCAATGCTTTTTTTAGTCTTGCTGAGTCAGCATTGTATCTAATTTAGCCACCTTAGTCTATATGTAATCTTCTCCTGTTCTCCACTTAGCCAGCACTATCATCTGTCAGTTCCCTCATTCTTGAGTTAAGTAGAGCTTAGACATGTGTTTATGCAAGAGTTACATTTTCAGTTTTTTTGGCAAGCGCACTTTGTGGGACACTCATAACATCTGCCTGGCTTATGGTTAGCAAAGCATCCTTGGACCATGGTGGCACACACAGCATTCCCAGGAGGCAGTGCACTGCAGGGGCAAACCGGTACCTTGGTGTCCTTGCGGTTACGGGAAGCCAGGGCAATCTGCCTGGCCAGCTTCAGGGCTTCTATTCGCATGATGGCAAACTCTAACTCCTCCTGCCCAACAGGTGGGGTGTGAGCAGACCGTAGGGGAAATGCATCCAGACAGACGCAATGTTTTCCACATCCCAGAAATGAATGTGCCACATAAATGTGTCATGACAGGTACTCGGGGGGAAAACACACGCTCAGTTTTCTTTCACAGTGATCACCTCAGCAGATCATGAAACAAGTGTTTAATTTCCTTTTTACAAAACTGCCCTTTTGAATATCTATCAAGAAGTATCATGCAGTGGAATAGAAAGTGATTTCCAAACCGTTCAGTTTTTACTGTATTGTATTCTTTCACTTCTTTCCTTTAGTTTTTCTTAAAGTTGCCCAACACTTTACACAAATGGATATGCAGCTCTCAAAAGATCCTCTCAGTGTGCCCCAAACATCCTAGTCTAGGGGATATCAAATTGTCAAATTTAAAGCACAGAGTGGATAATCGTTTTGGTTTCAATTGCAAGGCTGTGTCCAGATGTTATCTCAGTGGGAATCTGAGATTGCCTGTACATATAAACAGCTTGGCTGAATGGTGACCTAATACCTTCGGTTCCGTGAATAAATCACAGAAACTGCCTTTGGCGCTATCAATACATTTGAATAATGACTGTTTAGCCAAAATTCCAAATTGAGTAGAAATGGTTCGTGCAATATGTAATCGCACAATTTATATAATTTCAGCATACTGGATAAAGTACACCACATAAATCAGTGTTTGAGGGGAAGACAGTTCATCTGGAACAGCCTCAGCAGTTCCTCAGTAAGTACTGCCTCAGTTCATTTGGGGCTTGGGGGTTCATTTTCTACTGAGGTTTTGACAAATTCCCAAAGGTCACACGGGGGCTACAAACCTGAAGTTTCTGAGCAAATACTGGGGGGTTCTTTTCTGCTAAGTCGGGTTCCAGATAGTCAAGCGCACCACAGAAAGAGGCTGGATGGGCTAGCCTGCTGAGGAGGGCATCAGCAGAGGCAAAGGCACCCTCGGGAGCTGTCTGAAGACCGGAAGAGAGGAGGACACAGAAGAAAAACAAAGGAGCAGAGAGTGATACTGATTCCAGGCAAGGACCATGCATGCATTTGCTGGACATTCCTGCCTTATGGCTAAACAGATATCATTAGCTGCCAGTACTCCAGGGGTCACCTGGACGAATTCCCACTTGCTGACCATGAACATCTTGAGATTGGCAGGCCCAACTCCTCCCCTAAAACACAGCCTTAGCTGCCCTCCCCACCAGCAAGCTTCCCTCAGTCCCCAGCCAATACGTGGGAGGCAAGCCAGCTGACGGTTTTTCAAAACACAAAGAAACTCGAGGAAATAGCAGCAGGTATAAACATCAAGGAAGTAAGATTTTGGTAAACGTCATTTTCTAAATAATGGAAAGACGATTTCAAACAACGTAGAAATCAGAGGCCAACCTTGGAGAAGGTGAATTGTGAGTCCTTCGTGATATTTATTTACAAAATGACTGATTCATGTCTAACCCCCTTTATGCCCACTTTGTGTTTCTGTTCTCCAATTTAGCATCCAACTGCCAGACACACAGTAGGTTCTCAATAAATATTTGCTGCATGAGACAAATGAAGTCTTCTAATACAGAACAAAGTAACATACTAAATCAATGCCTTCAAACCTGTTTAGGGATTTGCTAGGCTGGAGGTAAAAGAAAACAAAATAAGTGTGACAAATGCTCACATGTGTATCACATACTCCAGGGAGATGACAGATGCCTGGTGCACACAGGTAACATGCAGGGAGGTTGGGTGGGTGAGACCTTTGGCTCAGACCTGCTGGCTTTGCAAGGCCCTGGTAGGGTTTAGGAAAGGAGAGGTAAAATTCCTAGTCTATAAAGAAGAGAAAACTCATAACTGAGACCAGGAAAAGTACTTAAATCTCAAAAAGGAGAGTGCACACTGCTGTATCATTTTCTGCTTGTGCCAGATAGACTAGAGAAGCAAAGTACTGCCTGATGATGGCTCCAAAGGAACAAGTCTAGTCCCAAAGGGGGACAAATGGAAAATAAATAGTCCTAAGTGCAAATAAAAGCATTTGGGTGAGAACACCAAACTATCCTAGTGGGATATAGCAGGGCTTTTCCCCACTGTGATGACAGGGGGCCCAGAAGCTGGTTCCTGCCTTGCAGGAGACATAATGGGCCCCACAGCAACTGCAGGTGGTGGTGATGGCACGCCAGGCTCTCATCTCATTCCCCAAGGATTTCCAGCTCCTGTGACTCCACTTACAATTTCAACGGCCTCTGAAGGGGTCCCCAAGGCCATGGCCTCCAGGTCTTTCTGGGAGGATTTCTCTGGCACTTGCAAGTGTGGCTCTTGGCTGGTGGCCAGTCCTCGTGTGACAGGATGCTGGACTTTTGCTGCAGCATTCACAAGGGCTTCACTCTCCTCAAAACTAGACCTAGGAAAACAAAAGGGAATCTTTAGCATCATCTCATTGGAATCAACCAAGGAGCCATAATCCCTGCAAGAGCCCAAGAAATGCTGGACTTGTAGGGCTGAGTCCTCAGAGGGACATGGGCCAGATCTTCAGTGGCCATGTAGCCTCTCAGCTGGGCAATCAGAGGGAAGATGTGGCCCAGCCCCACCGTAGGTCCAAATGACAAGGGAATGGCAGAGCACATATGCCTCTGGCTAAGGCACATAAGATCTGGTGTTAAGCTGACAGCCAGGTGTGCGGCTGTGCACACTGGGGAAAGTGATTGGTACCATACTTCAGTCTCCTTTTCTGTAAGATGAAGGCAGTGTACCATGTGAAGATTAAATAAAATGCTTGTTACATACAATATTCAGCATGGTGCCCATCACATGGCAGCATTATTGTGGTTGTAATAAAATTATCATCTCAGCACCTGGGCAAATTCAGTAAATTTGAGAAGTCAAACCAGGAACTCTAAGTCTTGTGTAATGTAAGGAGGAGGCAGACAAGGATGGTACAGTCCACAGTTTAGAGTAATGCCCATTCTTGCCCAAATACTGCACTGCTTACAACATAAACTCGACAGATGCAAACACTACCATCCATTTTAGGAAGGTGCATTCACCAAGCATTGCACACATAGCGGGAACTCTGGCAAGTGCTTCCCACACATCGCTGCTCTGGAGGCCAGGTACCTTGTGCCCACCACACAGCTGTGGGGAGCTAGACTAACAGCCTCTTTTAATCTTCTTCAGTAGCTCTGAGGTCAATCTATTACTCTTACTTGACAACTGAAGAAACTGAGGCATGGGGGATAAGAAACTCACCTTAGCTAGTAAGGAATGGAAGTGGGGACCCAGGTGTCATGCTATCTAACAATGGGCCAATGACAGAAAAAACTGTGTAGATTTGGGGTGTAACGGGGGTCAAGTCAGATGTTAAAGAATTTTACCTTAGTACAAAGAGCCCAGTAACAAAATCAAAGAAGTCACCTGTGTCCAGCTGGACAAAGAATGATATTGGGCTGTCTGAATACACAATAGGGAATGGAGTCAGGATAACTGCAAAAGTGCTCAGGGGCTTTGGGGCCTCTGGTCTGGCTGGTAACTCTCTCATCACAGAAGTCGTACCCTGAACATGGCGTCGGGGAGTCTGACATCCGGACTGGAGGAGACTTGATGGGGCTCTCCTGAGACGCGTCAAACATAAGGTACAAGGCCTGTTTCTTCGGGGTGTCATCGTCCTGCTGCAGGGATCAAAGGCACATGTCAGCTTGGTAGAGTTGGCCTGAACATGCTACCATGATGAAAACCAGAGCCCTCTAGAGTAGGGATCAAACAGCTCATCAGAGGAAGCCTTCACTTCGTTCAAGTGATCAGGAAAAAAGAAAGCAGGTCCTGGCTAGGAGACAGGTAGACAGAGGGAGCAAAGGACATCGTAAGGAATATGCAATTGGGTACAAGTGGCCATGTGTGAGGGAAGAAAGAATTGGATGTATCGCTTTGCCAACCCTGCTCAGGCACCAGTGTTTACTGACCATGCTCTCAGGCTGAGACACTGTGCTGGCCACTGAGGATAAATGGAGGACTAGGGCAGGCTCCTGGCTTGGGGCTGCCCACCACCAAGTGAGGGAGACCAGCTTGGTGACCCAAGGATGAAAAGAGCGATGGAAAGAGCGATGGACTTAGCCTGGAAGGACAAGAATTCCCCTCAGTGGGCATGGACAAGAAGGACATGAGCAGAGAGCAAGATGTGGGCAGTGGATAAAGACCTTAAAGGTCCAGGCATGTTCAGAGCCAGTGAAAGAGCAAAGCTGGCCTGGTGCACAGGGGTGTGTACTGTGGCGCAAAGTGGGGAAGTGGGTGGATGAGTGGCCAGAGTGGAGGAGCAGGACTAACCCACCCACAACCATGTGCACTAAGCCTAGCAACAAGGATTAGCATTTCTTAGATGAGGAGACCCTGAGAGACCTCTGCACTCTGGCATAACCACAGAAGCCTCAGCTGCAGGGGCCAGTGGGCATGTTGCTCTGCACTATCACACAATCTCTGGATAGCTGTGTGGCTCCTAGGTAAGGTAAACACTATGAAATTCATGCATGAGGCCTGCTGATGCCCTGGTCAGCAGGTGTGGTACATAAGCAGTGGCCTCTTGGAGTTTTGGTCCCATTAAATCAACAGTATCAAAATATACGATCATTCCACTTTAATAGTAACATATCTTCCCTTGGTATTTTATATATATTGTGTGCGTGTTGTCAACCATTGGGTTGTAACCTCCAAGGGCAACAGATATAAAGAGATAATGACAAGACCCATGCACTGTACTTGGGAGGCTGAATTCCTGCCCAACCTTCAAGTCTACTGCAGTTTAGAATCAGCAACCCCTGCATCTACGAACAATGCCCAGAAAGATAAAGATAAGAGCTACAAGTCCAGGAGCATTTTGTATCATGGCAAGCTCTCTGGTATACCCTTCGGATCTTCAAAGACATCACTAACAACAGCGCAGTAAGAGGTCACACCCTGAACAAAATGCCAGGGTAGTAGCCACTAAACCAGGGAAGACGTCGCCTGTCATAACCACTTAATATGAAAGTGGGGTGTGGTTACTGCCTAAAGGATCAGTTGCTTAAAACCATTGCAGTCAACCCTCAATATCCATGGAAGATTGGTTCCAGGAGCCCCACAAATATCCAAATTCCTTGTATAGAATGGGGTAATATTTGAGGACAACCCACAAACATCCTATCCTATACTTTAAGTCATCTCTGGCACATTTACAATACCTAAGAAGATCTAAATGCTATGTAGTTATGATGTATTATCTAGGGAATAATGACAAGAAAGTAAGTCTGTACATGTTCAGTATAGACACAATTATTTTAGACTCCTTTTAAGGTTGAACCCATGGATATGGAACCTGTGGAAATGGAGAGTCAACTGTAATTTAGCAAACAGTTAATACCACTTACAAATCCTTTACCCTTTAAAGAAATTCTAATGTGCTCTGAGTCTAGGAAAGTAATTCAGCAGGAAGCCTAATCCTCTTCTCCCTTTGTACCTCAAATGCCACGTGATACGGACTGCATATGAACCTCAAACTCCCCTCCCCAGGGGTTCCTAGATGCTATAGGTACAGAGGACACCAGTGTGAGCTCTGAGCTCCCAGAGATGCTTTGCATGGTCAGGGGAGGAGATTCCTGCCTATCACAGCAAAGGGCAGAGCAAGAAAAACTTACAGGTAAGGAGGAGCCAATTTTTTCCATATATTCAATTTCATAGGAGTTTCTGTAGTCCAACTCTGCAAAGAAAGACAAAGTGATATTAGTGACAGGGACAAAAATTCAAAAGATTTCAGGAATGCCCTCTGAGACTTGCAGTGCAACTGCTCAGCTATTTTCAGTTAGTCAACTTGCTGCTGGCAGGGACTCTGCCTTTAGGGTATCTGTGGGAGTCCCAAGGGAGTGAAACAGGGTTGGCTTTAGACAAATCTGAGCACTGTGCACCATACTTGGTAACTCTTGTGTGCAGCATGTGGAAGGAGCCTCTCTGGTGACATCTTGGACCAGGACCTGTACATGTCTCTCTCTGTGAATTCAGCCCCAAGGGAAGGACAAATACTATTCCCCACTCCAGTGTTGCTAAGAGAGACTTTGCAGTCATCTGGACATTTCCCAAAACTCTACCACTGTCTACAGGGCCAGGCCAAGTTGATTTTCAAATGAAAACACTATAAAAATCCAACTAGGAGGAAAAATTATATATTTCAAGTCGTTTGATGATGTCAAGTTGCCAAAACTTCCAGACACTCATTGAAGACTAAACACCTCTCTGCCTGCCTCAGGTACCTAGAAGTTCTACAGCTCTGCCACTTAAAACTCCTTGTCCAGTACACAAATTGAGCACTTACTTTATGTCGCACATGAGCTGTGCAATAAAAATGATACAGAGTGAACCCAGAAGGGACTCTCCAGAGAGTAGCTACCATCTAGAGCTACCAGATGCCTCTATTCAGTGAGAAACCTAGATGAGATAAGTGACATCACTGTGCAAAAGCATTTGTGCCAATCCATAAAACTTAAGGTCTCAATTTTTTTTAATGAAGACAAATTTAAGTAGCAATTCTAATGGAAAGTTCCATTGTTTCTGCATCTTGCTAAAGGCATCACCAAAAAAATTCTTTAATATGAGCTTTATAAGGAGCCACATTCTGAAAGAACTGTCATAAACCCAAACTCTTCAGCATCTGGACAATCCTCAGGAAGTTTGAATCTCCTTGGTAAAGCAGATACATCCTCCAGCTCACGGAGCTAAAGCTGACTCTGAATACGAATGGCCAGGATTCCCTCCCACATAGATGTTTACACCTGAAGTCATACAGACTGGTGCATGAACCACACCCTACTGAGATGCAGTCTGGAAAGTGTATCTCCAACTGTCATGCAAGTCTGTGCCAACTTAGTGTCTAAAAGCACTGGCTTATGAAGACGTGACACCTCCCCTCATCTTAAAATAAGAAGCAGGTAGGGGAGGAGGCCAAAGTGATTTCTAAGGTCTCTGCTGGCTCTATAATTTTCTATGTATGTGGTCCCAATGCACCTTTTTTATTGCCCCACTAGAGATTGTTGAAATGGAAAAGATAATAGTGATTCAGCTGTGGCTTCCAAGCTATCACTAGTATTGCCAAAGATTATAAAATCCTAAATCACTGAAAAGAAATCCCTCAGGAGTCCCCTTCCCCAAAGTGGCAGAGAGCACCTAGGATGCACCCAACAAGCAAGGGATCACCAAGAGATTTTCAGGGGCCACCAGCTCACCACAGTAAAACACTCCCCTAAAAGCCTGGCTCACTCTGCCAACAGCCAGACCTGGATGCGATTCAAGTCACTAAGCTCACTCGTCTGCCTTTTCTCCAACCTGCCACGGGTGTTTCTCTGCCCAGTGTCTCCCATTCTTCCTTTCAGAGAAATCACCAGAGAGTAAAAAAGGGGGTTTTCTGTGCTCCCCGCTTATAATACTGATCTGAAACAGGCCTGGTGTTAGGCAACCCACCCTCCCCCTGGGAATTTCACCCTCCGGAGTGAGACACCGGAGCCACTCCTTCAGAAGATGGCCTGCCACTTCTAACCCCAGCCTCGTGGGGTTCTTATTTATAATTTACACAACAGCCTGGATAGGATGGAAGGAAAATAAATGCTTCTCCCTGTCATCAGACGGTCTCTGATATCTTAAGGAAGCATCTTATTGAAACTGGTTTTATGAAACCTCATTCATCTGCTATGAATACAAAGTCTCGCAGGTTAAGCATGGGGTGAAGCATATTCAATTTCTGCCTCCTTTTTATACCAGGCCAGATCCGGGTGGCAGACCAGGGAGGGTTACACCAATGGCACCAAGTGGAACATTTTCTTTACAACTTCAAGGAAAGCTCACTTGCTAAAGCTTGTGGCTACTTCAAGCTAAAGAGGTCCAAAGTGATTTTTAACAGGCCTTTCATGTCTAAAGATGGCTTCTGGTAATTATTTTGTATCAGGGCACTGTACCATAAGATGGCCTGAATGTCATTTTCCTGACTTTTAATTGCTAGACCTTTGCTGGGGGATTGAAAAGAACCATAATCAGAGGCCAGAGGATCTTCATTCCCAACATCCAAGAAATCAACTCACCTGACTACTCTGTGACAACTGATTCACCTGTAAAATGGAGCTCAAAGTGCCCCGTATTTTGGATAAGAAGAAATAGTGTAAAGTCTAATCCATACAGCGGGTTATAAAGAAGTAAGGGATTGTGATCCCTGACGTCTTGCTCACCACTCATTGCTAATATTTCTGGAATTTTTAATATAAATGACATCATAGGGGGAAAAGAAAAGAGCAGTGACTCCTGGTGGCCTTCATGTCTACCTTCTCAGTGTCTGACAACGTGAGCAGCAGTGACGGTGCCTACCATAAATGGATTAGGTTCCAAGGACAGCCTCCTGTCTGCTGGGCTGTACAGAGAATCGGATATTGCAAAATGGGGACAAGGACACTGGGTGTCCACATAGTTGTTCATGAGTCTCAACCAACTGCTTTACAAGGGCCTCTTGGACCAGAGACAAGTGAGGCTAGTTAGCCTCTTTCCTCCCAAGTGAGACCACAGGGCCACGATTGAAAAAACTGCCTGAGAGAGGGGCATTATTACACAAAATTGCATATTTCTATCTGCCAATCTGAGTCTTTAAATGGTGGCGATTACCAGAGTCGCCACAGAGAGCTGATGTAGTAGAGCACAAACATGCTACTTAATCACCAGAGCATCTTTCTAAGCTAGTTTCACTGGGGTTTCTGAACGCGAAGCTCTTCCACACTGCTTTTGGGAACCCCGGTGAGGACGCATGTTGAGCTCACAGCCTCATGCTGCAAATGAAGGCAGGGAGCCTGGTCAGAGTTCACATGGACAGCAAAGCAGGAAAGCGCACCACTGTTAGGTCCGACAGACACAGCTCTCCATGGCTCAGCCCACGATGCTGGGAAAGTCACTTAACAGCACCACGTCTGTGCTCATTCACTCTTAAAGCAGGGGAGTGTGGAAACGCACAACACTGCCAGGAGAAGGAAATGAAATCATGTATATTAGGGCCTCAGCCCAACTCAAGGGACACGCCGAACCACAGACAGTTATGCTTTCCTCTTCTCACCTACAGAATAGTATTAGAATGAAGTAATTATTACTTGGAGCTCAACATTTCATTTCCCTGTGGTGGGTAACTTCTGTGTAAGAAAGTCTTCCAACACAGCTGCAATCCTGTTCTGACCTGACAGCTAACCAAACAGTTCTACTTTGTAGAAAATAAAATGCCAAAAATATCCACATATATTAATCATCTTTTCATGGTCACACAAGGGAAGAGCATTTTGTATGGAAAGAAAGTAAGCATCCCCAAATCTGAAATACCTATTTCTACTGCAAACCAGCTCTCACCACAAATGCACTTGTGGGCACCAAGAAAATAGAGTCCTGACCATGGAAGAACCTCCAGATAAGCACTGAATTACAGTTAAAAATGACTTGTCATCTTGCTCTTGCCCCTGACCAGAGTCTGGTTGAGGTCACAGGGATGCTAAGACCGCTTCCTGGACCTTTGTTGACCATGTTGTCCCTGAGTGGTACCTTCTGCTGCTGCCACAGGGGCATCCAGTCTGAAGAACGAAGCCCTCCTAGGACCAGGGGTATCGCAGGGAACAACGATCTTTCACAAAGAGTATTTTCTGTCCAAAGAAATACATGTGATTACCCCAGAGACTTTCTCTACTACATCCATAGTAGGGCTACTTATCTATGGAATTTAAAAATATGGTGCCTCTTTTGGAGAATTTATTGATAAACTCAATGAGGAAAACTGCCCAGCTAGAAGAGGCAAAGCAAGCTTTCATGAGACTAACCCAGGATGCAATTGAATTCGAGACATCACAGCAGGCACTTGTTTAGAATCACCACTACCTTTTTGATGGCCAGAGGAATAATATTACTATAGCCTTGGAGATTACTCAGCAGGAACGGCTGCACAGAGAATACAAGGAAGTAAAGAATCACCTGGACTATTCTATCTCTGAGCAGAATATGATGCATCAAAACGAACAAGAGCGCATGATAGGCTGAGTGGAGAAGCAAGTGGTGCAGCGCATCTCTGCACAATAGGAAGAGGAGACAATTGCCAAATGTACTCCAGATCTAAAGCTGCTTGCAAAGAAAGCTGGACAACAGCCAGTTATGTAAATGTATCCATCCCAGTCGAGACAGCCAGAAACACTTGGAAACTAGTCTATGTGACAAAAACTTCCCATATTGTTGTCTACTGAAATTACAGTTTACTTTTCCTAAAAAAGAAAAGCTTAGGGTTTCATTTAGTGAGAACTAAATCTATTGACCAGTCAGATGTTTCTCGTCCTTACTCTACATTTTGAGTTGCTCTGTGATCACTTTTAAATAAACGCTTTGCTTTTATTAAAACTTAATTTAAAAATAAATGACTTGTCCAGGCATGATCGCACTGCCTGTAATCCCAGCACTGGGAGGTTGAGGCAGGCAGATCACAAGGCCAAACCCAACCCAGGCAATTTAGAGACTTAAGGAGACACTGTTGTAAAAAAAAATTTTTTTAAAAGAAAGAATAAAATAAAATAAAAGGAATGATTACAGCTTAGTGCAAAGACCCTGGGTTCAATTCCCAGTACCACAGAGGAAAAAAATAAAGTCCTCATTAGTAAGCCTAGAGTGAGCCTCTAGTTTGGGTCTTGACTAAAAGGCATAGCCATGCTGTCTCATTATCCCATGACGCTAAGATCAGACAGGTGCAGTGAACTACACTGAGCATTTGCTGTGAACAAACACTTAAAGCCTCCGCCACCCCCCAAATTATAGAAGGCACATTAAGCCACATAGTCAAAAACAAGCAAACACAAGTGAGTAGCACTCAGAATCTGGATTAGAAGATGTTAGACTGCTTCTTAGCAGGCACTGTGGGGTCAAGGGACAGCTAGTTTTAAGTCTTGGGCTGTTTTGAAGTGCAGCCTTAGCTTCAGGTGCATTGGAGGCGTGCAGACAGTCATACGGTAACAAAGTTACCTGGCTGAGAAGTGTCTTTCCTGGCCTTTTGCTCCCTAGGGGCGGTATTCTCCAAGACAGGGTGGGCGTGCAGCTGGCCACCAGATTGCTTACCCTCCGAGGGTGAACTGAATTTGGTCTCATTTACAAAGGTGGACAAGTCTGAGGGCTGTGGGAAGTCCTGTTTGTCAGCCTCCAAGTCCACTGTCATGCATGTCCACTTCTGACTGGTGACCGCCAGCTTTTCCTCATCTGTTGCATGCACCACTGCAGAGATGACTGGTGGTGTCTCTGGTGTTGCAGCTGGAGTGGGGTCCTGCAAAGAGAAGAAAAGCAGTCACCTCTTTCATTCAGTGTACTGCTCAGAAATCACACTCACTCAGGAGTCTTAAGCTGCTCAACCAGGAGCAGCCCCCTCAAAATCCTCTCTGTTCTACTTGGGCTTTGCTCCAGGGACATCCTCAAGGAAACACATTCTTTCCTCTATAAATCTCCTTTCCTGACAGTTTGTTTCCAGGAGTGATCATGGGTTTTTAAAAAACTAAAGATTTTGTGTCTTGGTTATCTGAGACATTTCTGCTAACTTCATCAGTACAACTATTGTGTGATGCTCATACACAGTATGAGGGTCATACACAGTATGGGGGTCAGCATCATCAATATCACCCCATAATCCTCATGCCAGTCCCTGGAAGGAAAGAAAGGGAATCACACTGCCACCCCGCAGGAGAGGGTGGAGTTGAGCAGGGCAGGGTGGAATTTAGGAATGAAAAAGCAGAGCTACAACTGGACACTGTTCAGGGGTCCAGATTTAGGAGCCCCGGGCCAGTCCTTGAGGCTGGAACTTGGCTGATCTGTTTTAGAGAGATGGGACAAGTTTGCTTGTTTTGTGACCCAGGAATGATATGGCAAACTACTTGATGAAAACCTTCCTCAGTCTGTAAGGAGGACAGAAGACAGTGGTACGTATTTGGCGGTGAACTATTAAGGAAGAAACAGGGATTCATAACAACTGAAGCACCCACGTTTTTTGGGGTAGGGATCCCTCACCTTCCCATTGTGACTTTAGGGTCATAGTTTAGTGCTTCTGACACATATTCAGGTTTCACATTTTTTTATTCTATTGATCTCAAAAGACTTTTTCCAACTTGATAGCTATAAAGTTGTCCAGCGACTGGACAGAATGGACAGAACAGATCCTCCTGCAGAATCCAAGTACCATTTTCCCAGAACTTCTACTCTGAGGACACATCCTCATCTTCACCAAAGTGAAGCAACTGAAACCATCTTGACAAAACCAAGGCACCTCCCCAAGTAGGGGCAAGAGGACCTTGGAAATGCACCCATGAAAAGCAGACAGAAAAGCTCTGCTGCCTAGGGTAATACTCTCTGGGTGAGCAGTAAAATCACAGAGCTCAAAGGAACACTGTACCTGAGAAGGTGGATCAGAGAGAGGAGACCGTTTTGGCGACTTTTTCACCCTAAATGTGTCACTGGAAACAAAATAGAAAATGTAAACACAACAGAGTTACAGAACATCCCAAGCAATATAGAACTGTGGAAGCCACTGCCTCTGCCAAGCTATCTGCCCAGGCCACTCTCCTGTCTATCTGCCCACTGCAACCAGAGATGTTCACCCCAACAGCTCCTTGTGACTTTTAAACAGATATTATTTTTCCCCAAGGGAAAGAGCCATCAAGCTGGAAATCTTTAGAGATACCATTTGGAGCACTGACTGACCTCTCCACCAAAAGAAGTTACATTTAACTACCAAAAGCAAATTTTTGGTAAGCAGATTAACATACATGGATCCTTTCAGGAATGTCTGAGCCAACCAAGGTTGGGGGAGGGGTTGTAAACTCATGACACTAATCAACAGGATCCAGTTTTCATATATGTGGGATGATATAGCACTGAATGAACAGAACCCTGCAGAACCCTATGCATAAATAGAAAGTTCTGGGTCCTCAGGGAGAATTTGCAGAATCCTTCCTCTTCACACCAGCTATGAGCTTCACGGATTGCTGAGTGCTGAAGAATTCTAGTGATGATTCCCACCAAAGGCAGGACCAGTGGTGAGATAATATTTTTTGTCTTTTCCTAGGCATGGTTAACAGATAAGATTAATAACTCTTTTCTTCCTTTTTCCTTCATGCAGACAATTTAAAGGGAAGAGGAAACCAGATAAGACCCCTAAAGGGACAAGGAGGCAGATCTCAAGAGAAAGTGTGACTTTTAGCAGAAAGGGCACCGTGGAGTCCTCAGGCAGTCAGTCCTTCCGCAGTGAGAATGCAGGTTCTCTCCCTACTGCAGCCCGCTGCTCACACAGCCCCATTCCAGCAAAGCAAAAGCTTTGCTCATCTTAAGCCTTCACCCTAGACCTACCACCCTCCCGTGTCTCCCATATTAAATGGGTGGGTAGAGCAATTTGGCACCCACATTCCTCTGTGTTCTCTCAAATACAATGTTCCAACAATGGCATTTAACCATGAAAAAAATTACTCTGTCAGAAAGTGGTCATTTATGGCATTTACCATAAGAATACTGCAATCACAGCTTCAAGCTTTTATTTATTCATGCACATAAATATATAGCTGTATGTTTTATAGTTACAAAATAGCTTGAAAATACTAAAGAAATTTTTTGGGCAGAAAAAAGTCTGGGAGACTCCACTCTACCTTGGGACTGCCAGACACCTAGGGCTAGGTCAGCTTCCCTTTGAAGGACAGGGAGAAGTTGCATGCTTTAGAGCCCTGAGCACTGTTCACAAGACCCCTCCTGGCCAAGGGAGGTAGAGTGGCAGAGGCGCATTGGCAGTCAGCTGCACTGATGCCTAGCAGGGAGACCTGCAGATGACAGACAAGGCATGCCAACATCCAGCCTGGACATGAGTGACAAGGACATGGCGCAGGGCAGCAAGGTGATAGCTCTCAGCCCAGGTTCCACTCTGAGCCAACTCTGTATTTCGGGTGGCTCCTACAGCCTCAGTTTGGAATGGCCCAAATGGCTCTGCCTCATGTGTTAGCCACAAGACCAACCAATACCAGTCTCTGCCCCAGGATGGTCTGTGAAGCCATGGTGCCACTGAAAGCAATCACCTGCCAGCCCATTTTAAAATGAAAGAATGGAATGAAAGGTTTAAAAAAATGTTCAGGTTTCAGATGAAGACATCCAATATGTAAGGGGAAAACAGTTCCATTCCTGACAAGCAGGCAGATTGGATAATGATGTTTTCACAGCCAAGCATTCTCACTTATGCAATTATAATCACTATGAAACAGAGAAATGACCTCTGCTGCTGGGGACCCCTGTTTGTACCATCATTCCCAGGTCTAACACAAAAGTACATCATAGCAGCCATGTAAAGAAAAAAAGGATTTGCAAGCCAAAACAAAAAGCAGGGGGAAAGCACTTTTGGCATAAAAGGCAAATTGCATTAAGTGTACTTACAACAGAGAACACACAGACATCACATCTTCAACCATCCTAAGACAAGAAGACAAAGAAGAGAGAGACAGACAGAGCAACTGACAAATAGATAGATCTGCAGACAACTGGTTCCTAGCAGGTCAGGATGTGACAGTCACTCACTGCAGACTCTGCTGTAGGACACCAATATCCCAGTTTTCTTGGAAAGGGACCTTTGGACAAAGCTTCTTCGCTAGGCTCTGATCATTCACATAGGGTCGGAATCGTAAGAACTGTCTCACCCAGGATGGGAGCTTTCAAGACAAAGGCCCATCTGCAGTAGGGGTGAGATCACGAGATGTTGGATGAGCTTCCCTGACCTTTGTTAGCTCTAATGATCAAAAAAGAAAGTGGCTAAGGACAGAAGATGAGCAGGGTTATCTCAGGGAAGCGGGTCAATGATGAGACACAGTAGCTTTGCAAGTAGTCAATGGCTTCTTGCCAGGCTTAAAATTAATTTCCAATAGGGTCCTATGGCATGTTCAGGAAAAGCCTATTGGGGAATTGATCTAAGAAAAATCCACATTTTTTGGCCAGAATGGTCTCCCAGCCACCACCACACAATGGTAGTGTAACCCACAACCAAACTCTGCTCTAGAAACAATTCTCAGGCTGTTCTCAGAAGGTCAGTGCTTGAGGGTACCCAGAATGGGAGTTAAATGGGCCACCCCTGCCTGGTTCGTGCCAAGTAGACCCAAAGGGGCTGATACTGTGACTTGTTCAGTTACAAAGCTCCTGGAAAATTACTTTTCTCAACCTTGTTAAATTATAGTCAGTGCTTCCCATGAGAGAAAGTCTACAAGTGGTCAGCCATGCTGCACATGGTCCAGAGTCCTAAGAACAGACCTGCAGCCACGTGGGTTAGAGCTAGAGCTTGGAATGAATGCTGGAGAGCTGGAGACTTCACTCAGCTTTTAAGGGCCATGCACTTGGTAAGTGAGTGTGGATAATGGACTCATTTATAAATGGCTTCCTGGGGATTATAGGGTCTGCTTCTGGCTTCAGGTTCCTTGGTCTTGTTCTGTTTTGACTTTTAGGACCAACATGAACTCTAGTGTGCAGAAGATGACCAGACAGAGGGAAGGATACAAACAGCTCATTTCTTATGATGGTTCAAAGAGGGACCCAAAACACACTTCTCTCATGGGCCTCCTGGAGCCTACTACTCTATATTGGATTCTTGGGCTAAAGTCTTAACAAACAGAAACAAATGACATAAATTTTAACAATATTTTACAGGCTATATCTCTTGGCTTCAATATATATGCTGAAAGGAGAAAGGGCCACTCACAAACAGGTGGCTGACCAGGGATCTCACGACTATTCCCTTTCACAAGGTCTCCCACATGCACTGGATCTGAATGTCAAGTCTCTCATAAAAGTACAGCTTTAGACCACTAACTGTTAGGTTTTTTTCCCAGGACTAAGGACTGAACCCAGGGCCTTCTCACTGAGGTACAAAACCGACCCTTTTTTATTATTTTGAAATAAAACTTTATTAAGTCTCTAAGTTATCCAGACTGGATTCAAACTTTATATAATCCTTCTTCCTCAGCCTCTCAGAGTGACCAATGACTTATTAGGGCAAAAAACCCAAGGACTCTTTTTCCCCAAAGTGGTTTATGGATGGCAAAATGCCAGCACTGTGACAGCCTAGAGGAAAAAAAAGGTGTGCCCTGCCTGTCTGGCAAAAGGGCTGCAAACATGGTGTCATTTCAATAATGGTGAGGTTAGGACAGCTGAAGGTCATCCAGAAGCGAGATCAAAGCCACAGCACAATGCACCCCACTCCCACCCCTCCCGCCTCCACCCCTGCACTTACGTCTTTAGGGGAGTCTTCTTCTTCTTGGCGGGCTTGTTGGGCCCATCCCCGTCCACTCCATTGGCTTCAATACTGGCTGGGATCTCAAACGAGGCTGGGGACTTAGTAGGTGAGCTAGGGGTCTTAGAGGATGTCTTAAAGGGGTCAAGGGATTCATCACAGGTGTCTGGGTCAAAGTTATATGACTGCTGGGGCAATTTGGGAGATTCCTGCATTTTTGAAGTGGAAGAAAAGGGGTTAAAATTGGGGTCATCCCACTTGTCAATATCAAAGGTGTAGGTACCTTTAGCGACAGGGATGTCATTGGGTTCGGCAGGGGATCTGGTAGGTGAGGCAGGAGTGTTGTCAAGTTTCTCAGGTGTCTTTTTCATCTTTGGCCTCCTCAGGGGCATTTTGGCAACCTGCTTTTTGCCTATCTTTTTGGTAGGTGGGGGATTCTCCTGCTGGTTGTCCCAACTACCCTGGTCCTCAGAATAGTCAAACTCCAGCCTCACTGAGAGCCCTTTGGCCGGGGAGTCCTCTTGGCCCCTGCTATCTGATGGGGTCACCTCCAGTGCCTCAGGGGCCGTGGTAAGAGGCAGTGTTTTCCTCCCAATGGGAGGTGAGTTCTGCACCCTGCCACCTCCAGAAGCTGGGGGACAAGCACCCTCTGTGCAGTCTGAGTCTGGAGGAGAGGCAGCTGGGGGCACAGTGGCAGGCTCCAGGGGCGTCTCCTCCAGGAGGACGGACCCGGGGCCCTCGGCCGTGGCCAACTCCGTCTTTGTCTCAGATGTCAGATGCTCCTCGCAGGGGACGGGACTCTCTTCGACTGGCTCTTGCTGGGTCTCTTTCACTGAGGGGGTTTCTGTGGGCTTCTTGGACGTCTGTTTCTTTTTTAAGGAAGGTGGCCTCGGTTTTTTAGTTCGCTTGAGAGTACTAGAAGCACTGTTGGACCCTGTGCTGCAGGCATCTGTGGTGACAGCCACAGCCTCGGGACTGCCTGGGCAGGAAGCACCGTCAAAGTCACTGGCTTGAAGGCTGAGCGAGCGGGACAGCGTGGACTTGGAGGGGAGCACAGACTCCGTAGACTTCCTGCGTGTGCTCCCCTTGCAGTCCTGGCTCCTACAGTCTGAGGAGCGAGGCTCCAAGCTCTGCAAGTTATCCACCAGCTCGATGTTGTCAAAGTCCAAATTGTAAGTCCCACTGCTGGCTATCGGCTTGTCTTCATCGAAGACGGCAGAGGAGGAGTGTGGGGGTCGGAAAGGACTTCCTTCCACTGAGTTACTACACGGGCCATCGGGGATGGTGACTGTCTCAGAACAGCATCCTGAGGAAATGGAGACAAAGCTGTCATTTGAGGACACAAGTCACCTGGGAGCAATTGTCATCCAGAACAAATGAAGAGCTGACAAATTCCAGTCCCCAAGTTACCTGACCCAACAATGGACACCCTGCTCAGGGAGAGATCCCAGTCCTATCTCTTATTAGCTTTCAGCTCTGGGCAAGTTTACCTCAGTATTTATAAAGTAGGAGCCATGAGAGCTGATAAAGAAAGAGCTCAGATAATCTGTTAAAAACACATTTACCAAGTGCCTAATTGGGTTCAGGGGTCATGCTGGGGACTCACAATGAAATGAACAAAACACACAGAATCTTTGCCTTCCAGAGGAGACAGCCTTCAGGGAGAGACACTGAATAAACAGCTGAACAATAAAATACACAAACTGCCCAATCTTGATGTGTGCTCAGAAAAAAAACAAGGCCAGGACAGGAGAGCTGCAAATTTAAATAAGATAGGTAGGTAGTGGCAATCTGGTCTTGAGCAAAAGCCAGAAATGAGAGAAAGATGAAAACCAGAAGGACTTTTAAGGGTGAAAAAGCCCCTGGGCAGAAGGAACAGCAAACACAAAGGCCCTGGGGTACCAGCATCTTTGGTGTGTTATAGAAAAAGCCAAGTGTAGAAGGAAAGAACAGGAAAACAAAAAGAAGGCAAGCGAAGCATAGCCAGCCTTCAGCACTTAGTAGCTATTATCACGGGCAAGCATGTTACCGACTCCTAAGCCACTGGGAGGAACAGTCAGAACCGTTACGTGGAGGCCTACGGGCCAACTTCAGCAGGACTGAGCTTGCCCTCTGCCACCTGCTCTTCCAGACCTCACGCAGAATCTCTTCATTCAGCCTTGCTTGTCCTTCCCTCTTACCCAACCTCTCTCCTCCTCTCTATCTGGCTTCTTCTCAACTTCTCCACCTCCTCAACCAGTGTCAGCCAAGAGGCCATTCTGTATTTCCAACATGCTGCACATTCTTGAAATATTGGCCAAATGACATTCATGATCTCACTGCCCCACTGCTCCTGGACGACCCAGCCAGCCCTGGCCTTGGCGTGGCTATCTGGGCTCTGTCTGCACCAGGTGGCACTTTTCATGCATTTCTAGTTTCCCAGCTGTTCTGAGCAGCCAAGGATGCTAGAAAATGGTTTTCCAGAAAAGCAAAAAAGGTGTCACTTGGTAAAAGAGAGCAAATACGGTTAGATGGTTTACAGGCCAAAGTACCACGAGAATGCAAAACAAAAAACAGAAAAGTTTGACACCAACACAATGAGACAATGTCCCCAAAATGTGCTTTATTGACAGGTGCTATGTCTCTCTACCTCTCCTCTCCCATGGCAAAACTGCCAGATAAGTACAAGATGCCCAGTTCAATCTGGATTTCAGATAAGCAAATAAAGTTTTTTAGTGTAAATACATCCCATATAGCAGTTATCTATTACCTGAGATATAAATTTAACCGGATGCTCTGCATTTTTATTTGCTCAGTCTGGCATCCCTATCTTTGATCCAAACAAGCAACTTCTGGGAAGTGCTCGATTAAGCCCAAACTCATCTCTTACTGCAGATTTCTTCTGAGCCATTCGTGCTTGTCCTGTAGTCCTCCAGGTGGTGAGCATTTTGCACAATGCTACCAATCTCTGCTCACAGCACATCTTTCCCTTGGGGCTTCACAAAGACTCTGATTCAAGAAGTGGGAAATCATACGCGAAGGAAATGTCAAGCCTCTTGTGCTTAAGAACTGGTCCCATTTACCTCCGCTTCCTCCTTGACTGGCCACACTTTCTCTTAAGAGCTCCACAGATGCCTTGGATGAAAAGCATCTCAAAGCACAGCTCTGAGCCAGTCCTGGTTTCAGATCTGTCCCTCTTTTCCTTCTTTGTGCCATACTACCCATATCAGAAGTGCATGTCCTAAATGTGGAGGACACAATCCTGAGAGCCTCTTACTTAGCTCTTTTCACCAAATAATTTCTCCATGATCATCCAAACACTCCTCATGCCATCTCACCTCAAAAAAATAGGTGTCAACATTACTACTTTCTGAAAGCAACTCTCTTCCTGGAGAATCTTACACCCTCAAGCACTTCATGATGCCAGCAGCAGCAACCTCATCTTCCTGCCCTGTGGCTACCTCTGGACACCTGGTACCAAGGACAGGGATGTGGAGGGGACAAGGTGGCTTTTGAGTGAACTTGACAAGATACAGAAGAATTCTCAGCCCATTGCATCACTTCCAAGCCAGGCCCACCAGTGCCAACCTATCTTCTCTCAGGCTGCTGCACGTGCCTCAGCAGCCTTCAAATGTCAGTACTGTGGTTTTCCCCAATCATGCAACCATCAGCAGATACTTAGCTTAACCATCTGCTCACTGTTGCCTCAGAAGAAAAAGATCCCTGTCTCCTTAACGTAGCTTTCCCACTTAGAACTGACTCTTCTTAATCACATTATCATGGACCACAGACCTAGTCTTGCTGTAAGATTTAACCTGGCCCCTATGGATATTTCAGGATGCTTGGTCTTTTGTCATGAGGGGCTGGCTATTTACTGCAGCATGCTTTGCTTCATCCTTAACCTCAACCTACAAGATGCTAGTAGCACCTCCCGCCCAGCTGTGACAAACAAAACTGTGCCAGATAGTGCCCTGTATCCCCCTGGGGACAAAAATACACCTGACTCAGAGTGTTCTCTTTTGTGTGGTTCCCAGAGCAGCTTGCACCATGGCGTCCATCACAGGGCTAGAAGTACCCTTCACTAGGAAAAGTCACTGCCATGTGGAAGCTTTGATTTTCAGAAGCAAATATGGTCCAGCTAGGTTCCTGTTGGATTTCTAAATGTCCACACATATGCGTAAGAAGACCCCTCATTCCTCAAAAAACCCAAGGTGTTTCTTATATGTGAGCCCCTGTGTAGTATGGCCTAGACATCGACATGAAGAAGGACAAGTCCCCAAATCAATGCATCCACATCAGCATGTCCTCTACGTTCCACACTCATCAGCATGGGCCTGGACAAGGCTTACTCTCAAAACCACCACACGCACTCTGGCACTAAGTTTCTAGCTTATTCTGAGGATAAAGTCAGCATCTGTGGCTTGTCACACGCACAGGCTCACTTGGAGCTCCCCAGTTGTTTTGGACACTTGGGCTGCCATTGCTAAACACCACAGAGTAGGGTGTTTCCACAGCAGAAATGTGTTTCTCATGGCTTTAGAGCCTGGAAATCTAAGTTCAAGGTGTCAGGATGACCTCTCCTGAGGCCCCTAGCAAGAGCTTGCAGACAACCTCCTCAGTGTGTCCGCACAGGGCCTTTCCTCTCTGCATGAACTTCCCCAATGTCTTTCCCTCTTCTTACAGGGACACCAGCGTTACTGGATCAGGGCTCCATCCTGTGACCCCATTTAGCATTAATTACCTTCCTTAAAGGCCCTGCCTCCAAACAGCATCACATTGCGGGGTTAGGATTTCAATATATAGATTTTAGGGGACACAATTCAGCCTGTAATACTCCAAGTAAAGGAAAAGGTAGATGTGTTTGAAAACAGAGAGAATTACAGAAAAAGGAAGACAGGTAATAAGTAACAACTGATGTCACCCTACCTTGTCCAAAGGTTACACTTCTTAGTCTTACTGGGGACACTCACTACCAGCTGGATGCTCCTCTTCCCTATCTCTAGAGTGCTCTCTGGACAGCACTTCGCTAGGCCCCGAGGAGCAATGGTGAACCCTCATATGCCCTAGCATGCTCAGATTCTTAACTTACTAATCAATCAAGGACACGTACGAAGCAGAGTTGTACATCTGCTAAGTATGTAAGTCACAATCTACCGCAACTAATAAAGTTGATTCTGGGAAAAGTATATTTTAAGCAGCTATAAATAGAGTATTACTTGGTTTTCAAATAGCATTTTACTGGTAGCTGTGGGAAAAATCACAGAAAAACCATGATGAATTCAACATTTCCCAAGACACACTGGGGACATTCACCAAAACCCCACGGTGTCTGTCTAACCACCCATCTATCCATCCCATTCTGAGAAGACTGGCAGGGTTAAGGCTGTCAATCCCCAGTTTAAAAGGTACCAGAGTGAGCAGGAATGCTTGGAGCTGGGCTGACTCACCCTGCTTGCATTCCATATGGGTCTGTCCCAGCTCTTAAAACCTCCAGTGAGCAACATTTCAGTTCTGAGTTTTGAGGGTGACCTTGGACAGGTACGAACTGTCATGACTGAGCTCCAACTTCTTATCGGGTCTCTGTCTCAGAGGCTAAAGTGTCAGGGCTACAGGGGTGACAGGCAGATGCCTACCAGTGGTACATTCCTTTCTTGAACATGCTCCCAAGTGCAGGCTGACAAGGATCAAGGAGTAAGCCCCAGTGGGACAGCAAGAACAGCAGAAGGCCTGTGCTAAGACTACTCCCTCTGAACTGGGGAGTGTCTGTTCTCTCCTGGAGATCTCATGGAATCCAAAGAAATAGGTGGTGAGTTCCACTGCTTCCTGGGTGTGTGTCTGACTCTGGCATGTCTGTTCCCAAACCCCTATTCCATTCCAAGAGGGCAAAGCGCTGAACCAGGCATTATTTGTAACACAATTGATCATGTCAACTCAGCTAAAGAAACTTTTTAGGAAAATCAGATTGTTTTCACCATGGTGTACCTTGTGAGCAGCTAAATGACATGCCCTCAGTTAGGATGGTTCTTGGGGTCCCCATCCAAGGTTCCCAGACAGCCACCATGCATAGATGAAGTCACCATTGTCTCATGCTTCTTTCTCTGTCCTCACAGCTTCTGATTTCCTTACTGTTTCTCTAGCCTAAGGTGAAGGGGATTTTAGTATGGCAGCAGTGGCCATACTACCTCAATGGCCAGGGTCAGGGTGCAGAGCGGGCCTCTGCCTGGGCAATATCCATCACCACCAGCTGGCCCTAACATACCCACTCGGGTGCTTTCCCTTACACACAAGGGTCCTCACACTTGGCTGCCTGTCAGAGTTCCCAGCTGCCCTCACTGTTCATTAAGAATGATCCAAGAATCTGCAGCAAACAGACTTGGGTCCAAGAAGCCCTGACCCTCCGTTCACTCTGTGTTGTGACCTGAATGTTTGTGTTCCCACCTCCAAATTCTCACACTGAAATCCTCACCTTTGAGGTGATGATACAAGGAGGGGGTAGTTTGGGAGGTGATTTCATGGAGGCAGAGTTCTCAAGAATGAGATTAGTACACTTATAAAAGAGGTCCCAGAGCTTGTTTGTCCCTCTACCATGTGAGGACACATGGTATCTATCAACCACACACTGACCCTTGCCAGACACCAGACCTGTAGCTGCCTTGATTTTGAAACTTCCAGTCTTCGTGACGTGAGCAGTAAAGTTCTATCCCACCTGGACTATGGGATTTTGCTACTCCAGTTAGAATTGACTATGATCATATGCAACCCTGCGCAAGTTACTGGACCTTCCTGAGACTGAGCTGTAAACTAGGCATTCTTATTAAGAGGATGAAGTAGGACAGTTACATAAGCACCTTGCCCAAGGGACAGTAGGAAATAGTAGCCATGGCCCCCAAATCTTGCATGTGCTACAGTGACACCTGCTGCCTGCAGCCTGCCCAAGGCTGGGCTCTGGGATTCCTGGCCAAATACCAGGAGACTTCCTGTCTCTGTGGGGAACACTCATGTGTGGATCCCTCAGAGGAGATGAAAGCAAGTGATGGTGTGGATGGCAACATGGTTCCCAGCAGTGGGTCCAGTGAAAACAAAAACCATGAGATACTCTGCAGCCAGGACTGGCACTGAGCTCCTGTCCAACTCAACATGAAAACAGCCATCCACAATCAGGGCCACTAAATCCTGGGGAGCGAGGAAACATGCAGGGATGCACATCACAGGGCAGCTCTGATTATCACCAAGGCTCCGACAGGGCCTGTCCCCAGGCTCAGCAGATCTTCCTAAGAGCTACACAAGCTTCAACTTCAGGCAAGAAAGGCATCCCAGAAGGAGGGTTGGCTCTCTGAATCATGGTGAACACCCCACAGACAATCCTTTGCTCCCATCCTGTGGCTTGGGGTACAGCCCAGGCTGTAGCACTCAGAACAGCTGGTATAAGGCTCCACCTATACACACCCAAACCTCACCCAGCAAGCACACGACCACTAGCTTAGCACCCACACAGGACCAGCAGAGACAGGGAGCACAGTGGCCGGCTGCTCCTGTTCCTGAGCCTGGTTTCCATGTTGAAAGGAGTCAGGCTGGAGGCAGAGAGCTAAGCTCAACCCCAGCACCCTTCACTTGCTACAAGACCACAGCCAAGATCCCTTAGGATCACAGAAAAGGAACGTGGGCAGCAGATGAAACACACGAAGGTCTTGTCACTGGGCTGACAGGCAGAGTCATAAATAGGAGCTATTATAAAACCATGTGACAGTGAACTATGTCTCCCAGCGGCCAGATCTGAGGTGTAATAACAGAGTCACTCTGTGTTACTTAAGTGCTCCACTCACAGAACCATGGAGGTCAGAGGGAAGAGAACTCTCAAGTCATTCTCTTCATTTACAGATAAGAAAACTGGGCTCTCAGGAGCTGAGCCCCGGCCCACCCCAAATGCGGGCAAGTGCTAGGTGAGCACCCAGCATCAGTCCTTTTGTCCCAGGGAGCACAAACATGATGACAGGACCCAACACACAGTGAGTAACTGTTCTGTAAAGTGTAGGTTTCCAGGAGTAAAAAATGTCTTTATTCATAGCCAAAGTTCTTATCTGTTATTTCATGTGGTTCCTTCAACAGTCTTAGTAATGTTCCAAGCACTGTGCAGAGGAAAAGTACACAATAGATTTCCTCTCCTGCCCCTTCTTTCCCATGGTTCTCAGAACAAACCTTTCCCCTCCTACGGCTCCATACACAAGCAAACGTAGCTGCCTCCTCGGGCCTTTGCAATGCCCCATGCGGATCTGCAGAATGCGACTTCTGGGAGGAGGTTTCTAACAAGGGCAGCAAATCACACATACTTTTATACACAGCGCTCCAGAGGTGCTTTGATTAAACACAACTCCAAACTTGCATCTTTTTATTATATAACCCTCACACTGTTGGACTATAATTCATACTGCAATTTTTCAAGAACTATAAAGTCCTCATCTTTCCTGTTCAAAGATTCCAACAGCCATAATCAAAGGATCCAAGGGAGTGTGACTCAATGGCAATCAGCATCTTCAATCTTTCCCTGGTGGGAGTGATCCCTTAGCCTCTATAGCGCCCGTTCTTTTATTAATTGTCATCTAAGAAAGAGATGTGTGTGTGTTTAAGAACAGAGACTGTTCTCTGTTCTGCTGAAGAGGGGTCAGGCACAAGGAAGAAAAACAGCAACAAAGAGGAGAGAAGTAGGAAACCATTCCCAGGAGTAGTTAGTGCATTTGACAGGGAAAAATCCTAAATCCCCCACAAATGCCTTAATCACATGTCTGACCTAAGGATTACACAATGTGCCTGTTCTCTAGCTATTTTCCATTAAAAACTGTGGGCAAATTTGTAAAAGTCATATGAGAAATACATTTTTAATAAGTGTTACTATATGAAATAAAGGAGAGAACGAAAATGACTCTCTAAGAACTATAAGCAGCCTTGCTGGCTCTTCTCCACCATAAAATCAGATCAAGATAATCATTATCCTCCCAGAGCCCAGCATCTACACTGACTCAGCAATTTCTGGATTCTGCTGCTGGCAAATGAGCTGTCAAAAGGAAAATGGAAATTTCATATGCCAGACACGAGCGAGGGCATCTGCTCATGAAAATGCCTTGCCCTCTTTCCCCAGCACAGGGGAGTCTATCTATTTAGGAACAAAGCCCTGGCATATATCCTTTCTCAGTCACCGGCCTGCTCATACTCAAGGCAGAGAAAATGGATTCCACTCCTTTTTTTTCTAAAACTAACATCAAAGCCAAAATTTTAATATATTTTACAGCCTGCCTGTTCCTGGCCACGGCAAGAGGACAAGTGGAGTCCTGCCTTTTGCCTATCTGCTTCTCCCACTGTCAACTCCATCCCTCACCTGTAGATGCCTCAAGCCTGGCTGTGGACAACCAGACCTGTAGGTGCCAGCCCCATCCTTGGTTCTTCTGCAAGCCAAGTACCCGCAGAAAGATGGGTCAAGATTGGTAATGAGGTGGCCCTTGCAAGGGGCTGCTTGAAGGAGCGGGCTCTGTAGTGTTTTACACAAGTAAGAACAGGGCTTCAGGAAGGTCAGAACAAGGTCCTCTAAAATGTGGGCCTAGATCTGTCCAGGTCAAAAGGACAACACCACCTGCTTCTGAGCAACCTGAAGGACCATCTCTGGCAGCCAGCATTTCCTTACAGGCCTCATATCAGACTTTCCACCAGGGGCAGCCCCATCCCCAAACCTCTGGGATAATTGGGGATACAAGTGGGGAGCCATGGCAATGGGATACAGGTGGGAGGAGATCTGTCCCCATCCCGCGGTTTATCATATTATATGGCACCTAAAGGTATTTTAAGTCATACAGGAAGAGAAAAGATGTGGAAAAGTGATTTTAAAAAATCAGTTAACATGAGAGAAATGAGAGTTGGCAGGGACTGATGTGACTCTCTCTCTTGTCTTCCTGTCTTGGCTCCTGGGGTCTGCAGGGGCTATATTCTTGGAATACAAGGACAGTCACACAAGATGTCCAGAACCAGCATTCTTGTGGTAGCAAACACAGAATCTAAGTCCCTGTTGGAATCTTCCTTGTCCAGATACATAGCCTTCAAACCCATCTGAGCATTCAAGTGAAAGGTCCCCAGAGCGAAAGTAGTACATAAACATAAAAAACACACAGAGCACAACCACTCCATCTCTGCTTCCTGAATAGCCACAAAATTTATGAAACACAGCCCACACCCAAGGGACCCCATGGCTGAAAGATGTGGACTATTCAGAGAGCCCTCCTCTGTGTTCACTGGGGTTGGCTCTCTGCCTCAAGCAGAGCTCCAGGAAGAGACACCACACACTCCTCTGGGCTCCTGATCCTTGGTTACCTGGTTCTTCCGGGGCTGGTGGTGCACTGATTTCAGGTTCTGGGATAACTTCAGGGGGTGGTGGGGGTGGGGCCGGAGGAGCTTTAACAGGGGTTGTTGACTCTGGGGTCTCAAATGCTTCTTCAGAGTCCGAACTCCTAGTGAAGAGAGAGGAGAGACACAGGTGAGACAGAGGCCAAGGCACAATTCTGCTGAGCAAAGCAAGACTCTAACCCAGAGATGGTGGATTCAGGCTCACTGGCTGATTCAACTGTTTAGGGTAACATGTGAGGAAAACCATCTGGTGACATAATTCCCAAAGCAGAATCTTACCACTACCCTTGATTTACCCAAATGGCATATTCTTTGAACTTAGCTCTACTCAAAACACACACTTCTCACCTCAGTGGCAAATAGACACAACGGACTTTGGCACCCGCTATTTCGTCAGTTCAGCCGAACAAATATAGAGGCAGTCCATGGTTACACCCCTTAGAATCTCTACCTTATGAAATTACATCTCCATTCACCCTCTTCCCACTTTACCCCTATTCTCTACTTCCCTGCCTTCCCAGCATTTCTTTTAAGTTGTTAGCATACATTCGTTCACTTTATAATCCTATTTCTTTGTCCTCCACTGGACTGAAAATGCCAAGAGGATAGTCAGGCTTTTTTTATCACACCATCTCTGAGCCTAAAACAGGAAGTAGAGAATATGTCTAAATGAATGAAAACCAGCAGAGGCTGTACCAGACAGTCACAAAGTAGTCTGTCAATCACACAGGTACAAACATGACCCTCATTGGTCCGCTGGATAATCCACATGCAAGGAAGTTCCTTCACACAGAGAGCTGGACCAAAAGTCCACTAGGGAAGCTGTCCACAGTTGAAGTAGAAGACAATTGCTAAAACCCTGCCCTGGGCTAAAGGCAGCCTTCCTCCCTAGCCTGCTTCCACTGGCTTTCGACATGTAGCCAGGAGGATGAACTTTTCCAGTCATGGGACATTGTGTGCCTGAGGCCAGGAGGCAGCTGCCCCTTGGCTCAAGATTCTGTTGGAGACACAGGCCATCCCTACTGCAGGGGAAGCCAAGAGGAAGCAGCAGCAGCAGCAGACTGGTTCCTGTCTGGAAATGGTTTAAACAGACCCAAGTACCAATGGATTCATCTACATTGAGGAGGTCAACCACCAAAATGGGTGGATACTTATAATTTCAGATCTCAGCAAGTCGATCCAGCGAAGACTGGAATTAAGAAAGTGACACACCAGGTAAGACAGAGCATAAAGTGACGGGTTGCACAGGGCTACACATGTGTCACTGCCACATCACCTGAAGCTCAGAGATGCTCATTCTGCTGAGTTCCTGTAAGTTCAAAGGACCAGTAACCTTGGTACAGGTCACCATTTTCTAAAGATCATCACCCATCTGACACACAGTGCCAAGAACCAAACCAACCCCTCTACTATCTGCTAGGAACAGAGAAAGTAGCTATTTAGAAGTTTCCTGTAGAAAATCTACATCAATATTGTTTTTACAACTTTTTTGTGGGTAACTCATTTTATCAGTGCCAAAGATGACCAACACACACCCCCAAGGACGTTGGCTCCTCCAGTTAGCCACAAAGCCCTCCAGGGACCTAAAGAAATCAGCAGAAACATCAGAGCTGTTTTTGATTGTAGCCAATGAGCCCTAGACAGCATAGTATTAAATTTCATGAATAAATACTTAATCCATGCAAACACAACAGAGGAGGAACTGACTGTTTACACATACATTAATACTAAAAAGCTTAAGCTTTTGTTTATAGGAACAATTTTTTATTCATCCATGCCTGGACAACAACAGATCTAGGTACCTAAACTTTTGCAGCCTGTTTACAGGTATGGAAAACACAAGGATATCACAGAACTGAGCCCAGATCACTTTTGTGGCGCCTGGGAGCCATTTTTCACCCCAGTCCCCAGCACTATCACGTCGGGAGAAATGCTTACAAGGTGCACAAAGACAACTTGCCTCTTTCCGGTGCTTCCTTGAAGGGCTAACAGTCTAGAATTTGCACTGCTGCTCACCACTGTCCACAGCCACCGGCCCCATTCCATGGGGGACCACATCTGCCAGGAGTCAAAAGCCATCTCCACTGAAGAGTAGCCTCTGTTCCCCAAATTCCCACCCCGAGTCCCCTCACTGGTATCTCAGGCCTAAATCTTTTTTGTTGTAGCCAAAAAGCCACATTGCCAGCCACAAATGCTATGAGCTTCCTCTCCAGGGTCCAGAGGCCCCAAGCTGCCAAGCTCAAACTGAGACACAAGGAGAGGGACTGAATGCTTGTATCCTTGGCTTTTGCATCCCTGGCACTGACAACACGTGGCTTTGGAGCACAAAGGGCCCTGGTCTTTCTCAACAGCACAGGAATAGGGATGGTCAGATGCTCTTGGGTTCTAGCTGCTGAATTCCAATGAAGTCTCTGTTGCTGCAGCTGCCGGACGCACACCTGCTCCAGGAGACCACTGTTTACCCCAGCCTGCGTGGAGGTGGTGTGTGAGCTGGCCAGGGCATGGCACACCAAGCCTTTCTGCCTCCTCGCTTCTTTACTACTGACTGCCTCTGCCTCAAAACAGCAGAGCCAACCACGCACCACAGAATGGCATTCACTTCCGGTACCCCCTGCCCTGTTTGCCTATTCCTGTGCCCTCTCCTAGGAGCAGAGAGAGAGAGTTAATTAGAGGAGGCGGATGGCAGCTTTTTTAATTAGCTCTTTTTTCCCTACTCAGTTTCCCAGGGGCTTAAAATATTTCCACCGGCAAGAATTTCTGCAGTCCACCCACAAAGAGTCTGTCCATAAAAACAAAGCAGCATTTTGGGAGTCTCAATGCAGAGTCTCAATGCAAAGCAGCATTTTGGAGTCTCAGCCCATCAGCTGTTAAGATTTTTTTCAGCATCAGAAGAAACTAAAGTACAAGAAATTACTCTGCGAAGGCTCCATACACTTGAAAAATGAAGCAAAGAAAAAATTAATTTGCCACAAATATGTATCAGAAAGAGCAATGTTGTCACTACAATCTGCTAAAACATCTCTAAATTATGAGAAAATATATTTCCCTGGTAGACAGATGCTATGTTCAGATGTATATAAGTAAATATGCATACAAAATTATCTATATTCTTAATGGCCAAACATGAAACACAGTGAGTAACTTTCAGCATGCTACCAATTGTTGAACATTCTGTTATGTTCAGGCCCTGGATTAGGCCCATTTGTATCCTTATCTACAATCTTCATATCCAGCCTGCTGGAGAGCAGGCCCATTTTACAGATGAGACAATTATGGCTTAGACACCTTTGTCTAAGGCCATATAATTAGGAAAGGATGGGAAGCAGGCTCAAATCCAAATTGTCTGCCTCCAAAATCTGTGCTTTTATCACTACGTCTGGGCCTTCCAAATGTTTCAAAGAAGCTCAGTATATAATGTATTCGTATGATAAAATCTATCACAGAGAACAATTAAACTATTTGCATGAACTTGAAAATTTGACACTGGGGTTTGGGAACACTAACTGCAGCTTTCTTTGCCCCTCTTGCTGTCCCTCCTAGTGGCATAGTATTAGGGAAAGTTCTGATACACAGCTGGTCCTGAGACCATGGGATAGTCTTCACCAAGGCAGATGAGCCATGAGAGCCACCTAACCCCACAAAGCAATTAATCTATCGGCACAAGGAAACAAATATGCTGGGGGAAGTAAGACCACAATGAACATGTACAGATGACAGTGGGAGAGAGAAATGAGTACCCCCAAGCATGGACAGACTGCAAACCATGCAAATCCGAGTCTCAAGGGCTCCCAAACTGTTTTAGCACAGTTTAAAAAGTTTCTTGGATTTCAGAGAACCACCTATAAAGCTCTCAAATTCAACAAGGCACAGTCTGTACACCTCTGCTCCACACACTGCAGAATTCAGTGACAAACAGTGCTAGAATGGGGGTCACATTATCTCTAAAGCCAGAGTCAGGTAGCTGGAAAACAGACCATCAGAGTTCATTTTCTTCTGTTTGTGACTTGGTATAAATATGGTCATGTTTTTACATATATGAATTACAACAATAAAATGGTTTAAGATCACACACATAACATATACACACACACAGACAGACATCTAGCCATATGTAAACATAACAAGTCTCAAACTGCCTGAGGTCAGCCTGAGACTCCCCTCTTTCTGTCCCCCACCTCCCTTTTGCTTGGTAAAGGCCACAACTCTGGCGAAAAGCCCTGCTCTTCAGAAGATCAGTCAGCAGGTATAGGACAAAAGACCATCTGCCTTCCTAAAGAGAGAGGGAGAAGAGAGAGGGAAAGCTTCTAGAAATAAGACTGGGTGAAGAATTAGTGAGTGGATATTTTTGAAACTGATACACACTAGATTCTATTCATTGAAATATTCCACGGAATCCCAGCCAGCATGCCTCCCTCCGGCTCTTCTTCTTTCTCCTCCCCTCCTCTCCCCTCTCTTTCTTCCTAAAACAACTTGACCAGACTGCTCAGCAGCCTGTCTTCTGTGAACACAAAACCAGCTCTGACAAGCCAGACTGTTTGAATTTTCCAGACTGACACCTAGAGAAAAATCAAGGCAGCTGACAGCACATTCATCCCAAGATCCCCAGCACAGAGCATCTATCGGATTTCTGAGGAGGGCTCTTATTTTCAGAGGCAGGTACGGATCATTTGGTGGCTATGCTGAGACATCAGCAGGGTTCAAAGGGGCCATGGCCATGAATATACCGGCTGCCTCCAGGTTAGAGGCATGGCAGGCCAAGAGGAAAGAGTCCACACTGACAAGAGTGACCCACAGACCTAGTTACAGCCAATCGTAGATTACTGTCACAAAGAAACGGGACTTGACTCTGAATAACTAAGGCAAAAGCAGAATTTACTGGATGCTGAGGACCCAGATTTATATAGAAATGTGGGCTTTTCAGCCCTCTAATCACTCTTAGATCTCCCAGTATTCAGCTCTTGATTTCAATTGTAGAATGAGAGCATTCAATTGGCCCATCTTGGGTCATATATCTATGCCTTACATAGTATATGACAAGGAATCTTAATAAATATCCTAATGGATGAGGCAAAGAGACTTCCCCAGGAGGCAGCTGGAAGAACAA